TCCCCTCAAATGAGTGGCATGCTCGCTGTACACCGAACTAAAACCGTGACCGACGTCCGCTGAACGTGCGGTGGGATTGACCGAGATTGGTTCAAAAGAAGGCACCATCCTCAGCATGAGTCTGAACTGTGCGCGCATGCCGGCGCGAAAGGAAACAGAGACACTTGTCGTCTTCTGCGCCTGTACACTTGAAACATGAATGCCTTGTACCCTAAACCCTACACCCCGGACCCGAAACCCTAAACGGCCCTACACCCTAAACCTTAAGCCGTCATGGACGTCATGCTTGCTTCGCCTTCTTCTGCCAAGGAGGAGCTGGACCCGGAGGCAGCCGCAAAGACCTCTCGAGCAGACATGACTGCCTGGTGCTTAGTAGGGAATGGGGGAATGGATCCCTATATAGGGGCCTTAATAGTTACAATCCCCAATGATAGTCTCCACAATCCATTCCACCATTCCCTACTAAGAGCCGGACAGATGATTCTTTCTGGGCCCGCCCCTCTCGTGCGCGAGTGCGAGTATGGGTCTGCTGCTGCTAATTCTCAGTACCACGACTCACATCCTTCTAAGCTCTAAGAGTGGCTCGTGAATCTGTGGCTAGGCCTTGCTTGGACTCTGGGCCTGTACCATAACATGTGAGGTTCCGGCCTTGACATAGTTGATCTCCCAGTATGCCTCCGAAAGGGCATTGGCATTCGAGGGATCCTTTACATAGTCGATGCAAGCAGTCGAGCCACCTGGAAAGTCACTTCCTGCCCAGTCCCCACAGAAGTCCAAGTTGATCACCAGGACCATGTCGCTGAAGTGATAGGACGGACAGTCGGATCCAAAGGGAAAGGTCACGTAAGGCTTTCCCCAAGTCGCCGAGTCGGGTTTTTCGCTGGTGATGTCTGCTGGAATCAGATCCCTGCGGAAGAACCACATCTTGATTCCACTGGTGGTCCACTGAGTGGCAAAGACGCCGCCACCATTCTCATTGAACACTGAGCCGCCGCTGCCGGCAGGACCGTCCAGTCCGCAGCCCTCGTTCCCATTTCCAGCATTGCAGTTAGGATTGAAAATCCTGACTCACGCAATGTCGACGCCAGAAAACTGACCCAAAATGCAACAACTACAAACAAACCTACAGCAAACCCTAAACCCAAGGACACCGAGACTGTTGGGCACCAAAGCTCCCGGAGACGCTTGGCATGCGGCAGCCGGCGCTGGTATGAAGGGTCGAATGCACGTAAGTTTCCGTCTCCACCGTCTCGATGGTGTCGATCTCTCCGTTCTTCGGCCAGTCGGGTCCGTAAGACCACCAGGCAGGCCAGGTTCCTTCGCCTCCCGGCTGTCACAAAGCAGGAAACCCTAACCGTTCACAAAAACCTGAGGAGAGACCCCTCGCCTGTTGGCATATGCTTGATGTCAATGACAAAGATGTGTCCAGGAGAGAACCGCGTCTGGGACTGTAGTCGGACAGCCTGCAAGAACGGTTCGGGACAAGAAACCGACTTGCTTTCCTTGTTGGCACATGATGGCAGTCTGAGCAATCCACACACAGAAGCCGTGGCCGTGCAGGCAGCAAATCGAGCCTTCACCGGCTCGTTTTGGCCGACGAGGCTGCCAAGCCTTACGGCTCCGTCCTGCAAGCTGTAGAGACCCAGCTCCTTGGCCTCTGTTTCCGAGACCTTGCTTCAAGTGGTTTAGGGTTTAGGGGTGAGTGGACATGAAAGCCCCCTGGAAACAGCACACGATTGAAGAAATGCTTCGGATAACTCGGTCCCCGGAAAGAGACTTGACTGAGTTTCCGCAAGCAAATCTACCAAAAGTGTGTGGACCCCAGCACTCTCAGAATATTGACGAAAAAACATACGTAGACCGAATCATTGAGGAGTTGCGTATTCGATGTAGCCATGAGTGGGATCTGCCTCGGTATAGAAGGTCCAGCATTCCAGGAAGCCTTCCCCAGAACAGCTTAGCTGCACAGCAGCAGGGACAGTCTTGTGAGTCGGCACCCGCACATCTGGCGTGGGCTTCTTGCGGATGCTTGTGGTGGTTGCCGTAGTCTTCGTTGCATCGGAAGTATCCGAGTGCGAAGAGGAGTGATCACAACAGTAGAGGTAAACACCCTCAATTGTTGGGCAACAAGCTCCGGCAAGTTTCAGCTTGCTGCAGTGCGGGCTGGCTGCGCAAGATGGGTCACTACGCTTCACCAGTTGCAGAAGACCTTGCACGTCGTCTCGACACTCTGTGACATTGCAAGCATGTGTCCCCAGAGTCAAAAGCACCAGCAAAGAAAGAGGTGTCATTGCCCGTGGCATTATCTACCACAGCAAAGTCGAGATAACGTCTGGCCCTTCTGGCTCGAGCCGAGCGAATATGCTGTCGGGAGCCCTGGCTGCAAACTGGCTCGAGCTAAGAAACCAGGACAAAGAGGAAATATTCCTCATCGTGCCAAGAGTCTTTCATATTGGCATAAGCCCGTCGTTTCTTGGGACTTTTTGTCCAATACTAGCGTCTGAGACTGTTGCTGTAGCATAGAGGAGTTACATCAACTTGCCGTAGTGCAGAACGCTGCAGGGCAGGAAGTACTTGTACAGTCGAACATGTAACAGTGGACTCAAAACCCTTCCCCTCAACCCTGATCCCTGACCCTAAACCCTGTTAGCATGGTATCCATGCCATAGAGTCGACTAATTAGGGCCGGTGCCATTGGACTGCGCAGTGAAGGTACCTGGCGAGCACAACGAAGGACCCACACGGTCTAACCTTTTAGGGTTTGGGGGTGGGTTCGGTGCATGTTTGGAGACAGAAGCCTTGAGGCTTGAAGCCTTCGTGCACGTGAGAAACTCTACGCTTCTACATCCAAGGGCAAGAGAGAGGGCCTCCTAACCCCGGCTTGAAACCAGAGTGCAAGTCCTCACAACACATGCCGAGCATAGTTACCCTGCCGGAGTCTGCTAAATACAGTCCTGGTACTTCCTTACGGTGATTAGATGTCAATATACTGATTCACCTACTTATGCATGCATGGATCTGCCGACCGGCCTTCGAATGCCAACAGAGAGCAGGCACATCGACCTGACATCAAACCCACACAGGTCACAGGCAAGGGATTCCATGCTCCAACCCCCGGACGCATCACAGCAAACACCTCGGCAGAGGGAACCGAGAAGCTTGGGTGGGCGTTGGGCCTGCTGGAGCCGTGATTTTCGTCAGAGCGAGAGACACAAAAGAAGAGGATCGCTGAGATGTGACGGGAGACCGGCAGCGCTCATCTGGCATAGGGCGTGCGATGCAGTCTGGATCCCTGGCTTGCGGCGACAAGAAGCACACAATCAGGATCCCTCGCTCGAGAAAGACACCGCACGATACAAGCCGTAAGGAAGAGAGTGAGGTACACTATGCCAATTGGAGCCGGAATTGGCTCCTAGAAAGACCACAGCAGGCGGTATGGAGATAAGAGAGAACACCAAAAGCAGACAGTGAGAAGTAAGGGGCCAAGAAGGAAAACAAGAGAATGCAAAAGGAGACAGCAACACAAGACGGGAAAAGTAGCACAAGAAAGGTGGCAAATACGATGCGAGGCAAGAGCCGCCAGTCTGAATTTCGGCTTCGAAGCACCAGAAGAGACGAGACCCACAAAAAGCTGGCCAAGGACAAGATCCCAGCACACTGACAAAGACAAAGAGCTGTCTTGGAGGAATTTTAAGGCTTCTTGGAGTCTAGGGCTTCGGGCTTAGGGTATCCCTTTGGGTTCCCGGGCACAGCGGCTGCTGCTGCGGCAACAGGGAGGCCGCGCTATCGCCGGATCTCTTTGCCTACAGACGCACCTCTGACCTCTTCCAGCTGCTCATCTTGAGACGAAACAGAACGGAGGCTTCAGGGCCAGGACATGAAGCGCAGACATTGGGGCGAGCGTACATGAAATGCGGCCTGTTTGCTGTCTGTTGGTTGGAATTGGCCACGCAATGTGATCAAGGCTGGCCGGGTCAGCCTCCGCATCGACGTGGGTACAACGCAGGGCAGCCACTAGTGGCTACTGGTGACGAACACTGACACTTCAGGACTCGGCACACAACATAAATTCCCCGCTGATTCCGCAAGGCAGATATGGTCCTTTCATATTGATCTCTAGGCAACGGTTTCTGCCATGAAAACAAATTGTGTCCCGTTCAGACCACGGAAGGATACGGAAGGTGTCAGCCTGACACCGCGTCATTAAGCGCCGAATTGAATACTGAGAGAACTTGTCCTGCGAAAAAGCCAACTTCTTTGGCAGCGCATTCTCCCACAAACAAAGAAACTCGGAGTGCTTGTGGCTGAGGGGGGGCCTTTTGAGGCATTCACTGAAAGCACCTTCCGAGAACGAGAGCTATCAGCTATGACGATCAAGTGCGACCCGGCGGGCAACCTTGAACATGCGACAGCTGTTCCGCGATAGCCTCCAGGCCAAAACAAGATGAAATCGCCAAGTGTTTCCTTTTCAACGTTTGACACCTTCCTTCTACGGCAATGCTGATCATCGATGGGTTGTTACGGCCCCTCCCCTCATTCTAGGCGAAACCATGCAGCATCACAGCGTGCTGAAACAAGATGAATCAACCATGAGCGGTAGGTCGCAAAGGATGCAAATTGACGCCGACATCTGATATCTGTGCTGCCCTAACCGACCGAATTCAGACTTAAGTCCCCAAGAAATCATGGCCAGACAGTCATGATCATAGTTTGCGCCAGGACGTAATGTGTTTCCGAGGCCGACATTCGATGTGTGCCTGCATCCTATTCCCAGGACCCTCTCGCTCGGACGGCTCGACGAAAGGCACGAGTATGGCCGAATGCTGCACCGACTCTTTTTCAAGGATGAGTGTAGACACTTCGTCAGCTGTTGGGGCTCTCCTCGCCGTGCCGATGCTGCCTCGTCGGGGCGAGGACGAAGACTTTGCCTCGCTCGCCGGCGATTGCTTGCGCGTTCAAACGATATGCACACGGTACTGGATGCAGGCAGGCGAACCGCCTCAGGTTCTACGTCTGTGGACCAAGACGCGAAGAGTTGTGCTCGTCTGCTGAGGCTGGGCTCGTCTGGACTCATGTCCGCCATAGCCATAGCCCCGGTTGCGGTCTTTGCTTTCGATCACGAGATGACAGGACAGTCGCACAGTCCCCCTTCGACGCTCCGTCAATCGCTCCAGGGCCTTCTGGCCCAATTCGCTAAGGCAGTCGCAAATCAGGTGAAGCCGTTCCAAGTGTTGCGACCGCTCGTTCGACAAAGCCTCGGACAAACAGATGGCCTCCTCATCTCCGAAGTTGTTGCACTCGATCTGGACGTCACAAGCGCCGGACTCCACTACAGCCGCGGCTGCCTTCCATGCAACATGCTCTGTCGTCACTGTCAGCACCAATTCTTGCAGCTCCGAGTAGAAAGGCAAAGCTGCAGTTAGATCCGCAATCCTCTCGACACTCAGGCCTGCTACAAGCAGCTGCGTGGTGGTGGCGGCCTTATGCCGAAAGAGCATATCATGAAGTTCGAAGACAGTGTCTGAGTCTTCTCGGTGGGTGAACAGCAACCTCTTCATTCTTTCTCGGAAGATGTGAGGTGGGAGTGGCACGGGACACTCGTCCTTCATCGAAGTTCTGAGAGCTGCCCACTGTGTCTCTGCTTGGCACCACCCCCGGAGGCTATACGGCGTTTCATTCAACTTTAGCTGATCGATGGGGACGTCCGTCACCTTCTTTTCATCCTCCCAGTACACCGGGATGAGTGAACCATTCCTCGCCAGGCAGTCATCCCTAACTTCTTTGGAAGCGAGGGCCTCGATCCTCTGGACTTCCACCGCCTCGTGGGAGTAGAGCAGGTGCATCCCTTGGAGTGCCAGCCGGAAAACTCGGTCCTGAGCCTCGTCTCTTTCGTACTGGTACAGCGAGAGAAAGTCAAAGAATATCCACACCACCGAGTCCAGGAGGCGAAGGCGGTACTTGTCGACCACGGACTGCAGCTGAAATCTGACGAACGTAGCAGGGTGCCATCGGGAAAAGGGTCTCTCAGCGGGTGTTCTTATGGGGAAAAGCCTCTCCCAAGATCCCGAACCCGAGCCTCCAAGGATCCGGATGCTCCCTGCTCTCCCATACGTGGCTGATAGACACGAAGCGAACAGTGAGCCGCCGCGGAGTCGGATCTTTTACCATGATCGATGCGTGGAAAGTCTCGGGGTTGACGTCCACCTGCCGCAGCTCGCTGGGAGCAACGAGGGCCGGCGCATCCATGCTGGTCTTCTCTTCCTCGGCCTCTTGACGCCGAGGCAAAGCCTTGCTTGACTCAAGAAGTTCGACCAAGTACTCCAAGCGCACCAGGCGAACGTCGGCATTTACGAGGAAGTCGACGAGGCCGTGTGGATCAAACAGATCATAGCCTGCAAGCACACATCACCAACTAGAGAGCCGAATGTCCCGAAACCGTTTGACGACCGAGATTACACTAAACACAGATATATAAGAGAAGATCGAATACAAATCTTCAGGCATGTCGTGTGTTATATACATATACACATACATATACGCATACATATTCGGCACACTCGTTTTGAGGGTTGGATCCTTGGGATTGAACTCCTGTAAGGTTTCAGGCTGTTGTATTATTAGCTGTTTTATGTATTTATTAGCTATTTTAGTACGGGGGCACGGCTATGTCCAAGCCGGGTGTGATTGTATGCCGAACATTTTTGCATTTATTAAATAAATAAATAAATAAATCAATCAATAAATAAATAAATAAATAAGGTAAAGTTGTTCTGATTCTGTCCAAGCCGGATGTGTTGAATTAGATTGAACTTGTATTATGAAACTTTTATTATTGATTTCATCAATCAATCAATTCTGTCCAAGCCGGATATGTTTGAGGTTTTCGCATGTCTTACGTCTTGCTTGGCTTGCTTGGCTTGCTTGTTCGACTCGCCCTACCCATCCCGCACTCCCCAGCTCAGTGCCACAGTTTGTGAGCCATGCATGGGCCCTTGACCGTGCGGGGCAGTGTCGTTGGCCGGCGCTGGGGATTTATTCTGTGTGCTCGCCTGTCCAGCAAGGTGGTGTGCCCACGCGGGGTGACATTCACACACATTGCAAAAAAGGCCTAACTAATTTACTATGCCACGTACCCGCACCACGGTCGAAGTCTTGAAGTACTTCGCCCACCGATGCAAGTTGTCCGCGTGGCCCGGCTTCTTTTTCCCTCATTTTCGGATGTTTCCGTCTTCCTGACATTCTCGGATATTCCGGTTTTGTTTTCGATTGGCTTCACGTTCCTTCATTTTCGGCTGCTCCGTTTTTCATGTTCGGGCTTCCTGGAGTGGTCCGTCTTCTCCCCGATTCACCCCGTATGCTATCATGTCCGGATTTGTCTGCCTTCTCCCCGTTACCGGCCTGCAAGGAATCTGACCCAGGGCCCATGTCTTTCGAGAGTGAGACCCAACAATGTGTGCTGTTGGGAGCTACAATCTCTGCTCAATGAGGTATTGCCTGCCTCAAAACATGGTCTTCCTTCACGCAAGCAGACACTTGCATGCTGCATCTCGTCTTTGGCATTTGGCCCCGTGCGATAAGGGCCACTTCATATTCGCAAATGTCCGAATACTTTCGTGTGGCTTCCATTTCGCTTCATAACCCATCATTTCCGCATACATCCCCGGGCCGAAAGTTTTGAGCTACCGGGCCTTTCATCATGATACAGACTCTTGCGGAGTAGCGGAGTGCTTCAAAGCAACGAATACCCTACGCAGGCCAGCAGAGTAATTACTACGCCGTTTTCAAAATATAATACTTAGTCATTGCGGAGGAAGCCCCAAAGCTCGCTTGTGTCAGGAGGCAAGAGTCCCCTCCTGTGCAGTCCGGGTGAGAGCTACGGCCCCGAACACTTTCACCCTGGGGTTGTTTGGGCTGGACTCTGGCACCCCAAAATTGACGCTGCGGTAGGACGAAAGTTTGACCTACTCCTTGTTTAATCGAACACACGCCCCCATTCCCCATAGAATCCTAACAAGCAGGACCAACGGGCTACTCCTCCAGAACATTAACGTAATACAGTTTGAAAACGGGGTATAAAATACTCCGCTGGCCAGGCCACGTACATCGCACTTTTCGGTACTCCGCTACTCCGCAGGACGTCTTAAGACAAGAGAGACGCAAGACAGATCCAGTAGGTCAAAACTTTTGTCCTCCCGATGCCTCACCGGGACCTTTCTGTTCAGCAAACCTCGCCAAACTTGTTGCTGTGTGACCTAATGACCTCCTTCAGGTCCCCTAAACAGACATCCCCGTCTAAGAAACGATTCAGAAGGCATCCCCGGGACGAAAGTTTTGAGCTACCGGGCCTTTCATCATGATACAGACTCTTGAGGAGTAGCGGAGTGCTGCAAACTAGCGAGTTTGCGTCAGGAGTCTAGGGGGAAGAGGGCGGGGGCGTGGGTCAACTTCGTTGTTTGAGCTAGTGGGTCGAACTATCGGCCCGGCACAGTATTCCATCACTTCCGGAACCATGTCCGGATTCTCCGGCTTTTGCATTCCCTCATTTCCGGAAATTTCCGAAAATCCATCATTTCCGGATATTCCATCAGTTTCGGAACCGTGTCCGGTTTTTGCCGTCTGTTTTGTTCCCAGAAACTTCCGTCGTTCATATTTGATGAGTACGTGTTCATTTCCGGATTATTCTGTTGATTTACCGTCCTTTATGTTCCGTCATTTCCGTCATATATATTTACATATCACCCCGGAATATTCCGACGCTTTTCCGTCTTTTATGTTCCGTCATTTCCGAAAATTTCCGTCATTCATGATTTAGTCATTCCCGGACTATTCCGTCTTTGATGTTCCGTCATTTCCTAAAATTTCCGTCATTGAATATTTCATCATTATTTCATCATTTCCCGATTATTCCGTGTTTTTTCGGCTGTTATGGTCCGTGATTTCCGGAAACTTCGGTCATTCATATCTCATCATTTCCGGATTATTCCGTCGTTTGTCTTTCATGTTCTGTCATTTTCCGAAATTTCTGTTACTCGTATTTCATCATTTCCGCGCAGCAAATTTGATCTAGGCCCGTTTTCTTTAGAGATTGAAACCAAATGTGCTGTTGGGAATTTCTGCATTCCTATTCCATCATTTCCGGATTATTCCGTCGTCTTCCCGTTTTGGCGGTCCGCAGCCAATTTGATCCAGGTCTCTTTTCTTTAAAGACTGAAGCCCAATAATGTGTGCTGTTGGGAAATTTCCATCATGCATCATGCATCATTTCTTCATCATTTCCAAATTCCCGTTGATTTTCTTTCTTTCATTTTCCCTCACTTCCCGAAATTTCGTCATTCATATTTCATCATTATTTCATCATTTCCGGAGTACTCCGTCGTCATCAGTTTCGGAAAATTTCCGTTCATTTCCGGATTATTCGGTCGTCGTGCCCTCCGTAGCAACATTGATCCAGGCCTCCAGTCCTTCGTATTTCCATCATTTCCGGATTATTCCGTCGCCGTGCCGTCCGTAGCAACTTTGATCCAGACCTCCCGTCCTTTATATTCCATCATTTCCGGATTATTCCGTCGTCGTGCCGTCCGTAGCAACTTTGACTTTGATACTGCCTCCCGTCCTTCATGTTCCATCATTTCCGGATTATTCCGTCGTCGTGCCGTCCGTAGCAACTTTGATCCAGGCCGCTTTTCTTTAGAGACTGAAACCCAACAGTATGTGCTTTTGGGAATTTTCGGCCCATGTACGGCTCCCAAATCCGGAAGAGCACATGCAGGTCTAAGTGCAGGATCCCTCGCAAAAAACAGCATAGCCTCCATGTCGCCTACAACAACCCTTCGCAGGCGAACCCAATAGTCCTCGAGGAGGGCTGCCTAAAATTGACATTTTGCACGAATGCATTCAGACGAAAACCCAAGAATACTCGATGAGGGTTGCCAAATCGCGAAGAGAACACACGGGTCGAAGCGCAGAAACCATCGAAACGCACGTGGAATTCGAAAACGACAAAACGAAGAAAACCCAATGATGCTCGATGAAGGTTGCCAAAAATTGAAATGGCTAAAGCACACGAAATCACATCCATCACTATTTTCGCGCAGGCACCTCCTCCCTGTGCAATCGACCTCCAGCAGACACCAGTGATGCTCGAGAAGGGTTGCGACGTTGGAGCTTTCCCAAAACATCCAAACTCACGATATAGCATTCTTTACGATCTGCACACCTCCTGCCCGGAAAACCCTCCACAACGCAGCACGCAGGATACCCGCACGTGCCCACGTAATTCAGAGATCCTCCCAACCCCCGAAGTCGCTCGCACCTCGCAAAAACCGAAGAATCCTGAAAACGATATCCGCAAAACACCCTCTTCCGCCGAAGTATCAGCGAAGTCCGGCTCCACCACCAAAAACGTTCCCCGAGCTACTGACGCGATTTTCAGGCACCAAAGCCAAAAACTGCCACCGTGCGCAGGCAAAACGTCACTTTCTGCTTACCCGATACCACCACTTCCTGAAAAGAGGAGTCCGCCCACCCGTAAGGGTTGCAAACTCCAAAAACCGTCCCGAAGCGAAAGTGCCTCGGACATCGTATTTTACATTGGATCCTGATTCGCGAACGGAGGTAGTAGCAACGGCGCTACAGCGCCAGCCACTCTGACATGCACGATCCATCGTGCTTTTTTACGAGGGATCGTGATCAAAACGCAGGATCCATCGTAAAAACCGATGCGCGAGCCACTTTTGGGGGGGTCAAAGTGCACGAAACATCGTGCCCACCGACATCCACGGATCTGGGGACACAGCCCCGGTGGAGCCACCCCCGCTTGTAATAGATTAATTTAAAAGACTACATACTCAGTTTATATAAATCTGTACTAATCGATACTGTATAGTATATAGTGTTTAAATAACTCTGTACTACTGGATATTGAATTTAGACTAGTGTATACAAATCCGGCTAGTTAATATAAATCTATACTATAATCGATAGTAGAATCGACACATTCGACGAAGACCTCCACATAAGAACCCGACGCCGACGCTTTCGGGAACATAAGAACAATCACAGTACTCGTGTTTGAAGTCAGAATATTAGTGAACCGTACGCTCGAACTGCAAGGTTGGTTCCCAGGTGCAGCCTAAGCGGCCCCCCTCGTAGTTTTTCGTACGAGAGGCTTCTGGCCAGTGGTCCTGGCATTGCTGCGGGTTCCGTCATGTGGGGAAGAGCTGACATGTATGACCTGAGCTAGAGTAGAAAGAAGAAGCAAGAACGTGAGCTCAAAGGTCTTATGCTCCTAGATACCTCTGTCAAGATTCGTGCATGTCACATCTTGCCGAGCTTGAGACTCGCTGAATATTCAACATTGCTGTGTCTCACCTGTAGACTGTTGATGGATCCAATGCCTGAATCATGGTGCCGGAATCGAAATACACCTCACCCATAGGGCAGCAAGCTGTTGTCTCACATTTTACTTGTATTGTTTACCATACTGCGGGGCTCGCCACAGTAGGTCTAGTCTAGATGTTTAAACACTATCACTAGCCGCTACAGAACAAGGCCCGCATCATGTCCGAGTTGTTCGAGTTGGGGGTGAAGTTGAACACAAGCCGGCCCGTAAAGCAAACCCATAAGACATAAATGCTCACCCGATGGACAAGATGGAGAGAGCACTTAGAGCACAGGACTGCGGACGTGTGTGAGGCAGAGGTGCTCCTCCGCCAAGGGTTGGTACATAGCCGTTGCCTTGGATCAGAAGCAAAAGGCGGTCTCAACCTTGCTGCCCCGTAGCTTCCACGCTGTCGACGATGTTGTTTCAGAGGCTTCATGATGAATGCTTTAATTGGCATGTCGATAATTCCAGATTCCGATTGCATTCCATGCACATCTCGATGGTGTCCACGATCCACCATACATCATTGGTTTCTCAGATTTTCTCAGTGCAGAATCTCGAGCAGGATTGTGGCGGGGCTGTGGGTCGCCCCTCAAGCCCACAAACGTAAAGCCAAGTCCTGATTCGACGTCTATCACTCAAATCGAAAACTCTCCGAGGTTGAGACGGGCCGACCTCTTGGCGACCTTCTTCTAAACAATGCATCCTGCATAACCTCTTCTGGCCGAAGTCCTTGGGGGCAAGGAACAAAGGCGACCCCGAAGTGAGACCCAAACTTTCACTTGCAAACTCGTTGATAAGTTTAAGACAACCATGGGTTGCAACCAAGCAGGCTTCACATCTCGAATTCGGTCTGCAGCACGCCCTCTCTCTCTGCAGCATGGTCTCTGAGGCCTTTGCCTGCAGCGTTTTTCAGATCCTGGCAACTCTACTTGAGGACCGATCCACCATCCATTGATCCGATCAACCAGTCCCGCCCTGCCTGGTTGCAACCGTGACATACCATGAAGTCCAGAAGATCGCGCCATGCTGATTGCCCTGCACAATGCAGCGGTGTGTTGCCTGGGCGAGGCACCAACTTGTAAATGCCAATTGTCTGCAAATATTATGCGGAAAAGACATGGCTAATTCTGTAAGCGATTCTCTGAAGCCTGAGGCTCGCCGCCATGTTTGTCTCTGATGTCCTGCAGCTACTCGCTGCAGGGAGCTGGAGAGAGCAATCAAACCGCTCCGACTCGCCCGGGCAGAATACTATTGTTTCCCTTGCCTTCTAGCGCAACTTGTACAAGTATGTGTGGATCCCAAACAGCTACGGCAAGAAACCGGCCTTGCTGCAGCCACCGTCCAGGAGACATTTCACAACTTCTTGGTGGCCCCCGAATGCTGCCAAGTGTAAAGGGATTTGGCCTCGGCTGCCGATTGATTGAAACTCTGCTCATAAGCCAGGAGTCAATATCAATAGCAGCATACCAGCGTCTTAATCAGTGCATATATATATGTATATATGGTCACCCCCCCCTCCCCAAGATCCACACCCGCCTCTTCCACATAATTCCACAAGTTGTTTCTCTACATTGGTCGACAACTCTTATAACCCGAAAACACCGTAAATACCGATACAATCGCGCTTTACCTCATGTGCATGCAAGCCGTGCTGCTGCAAGGCGCGGGTTTGATATGTGTAAACTTCTGGCGCCGAATCTCGGCCGCGGATTTATGGTAGTTTATGTGTTGGAGAAGCTGAAATGCTGGAGGGCGTGCTAGTTTTGTTCACGTAGTAGTAAAAAACTTCGTGTTTTTTACATTTTATGGTGTGTTATTTATCAACATTCCTCTAATAATACAAATGCTATTGTCTCTCTTACGAAGACGTCTGCGTGCGTGGGCCAGCGTTTTCCCGCTGCTCGTGAAGCGTCCGATTCTGATGCGGCCTAATCGCTCTAGCACTTGATATATGAGTTACGAAATAGAAAAAAAGTTTTTTCATGTCCTGTCCATTTTACATGAAGGACGTCGGATATACGGGCGCGTTTATTTTTGAAGCAATACTCCAGTAGTTGCTCTTTGCCTCATAAGAAATGGGAAAGATCCCCTGGAGTTGAAAAGTTCATGTGCATATGCGGGCGCACAAGAAGGCTCGTCTGCAGCAAGGGCAGGTCTCCCACCGGTTTTGCTGAAGCCGTTTCCTCTGGGAGCCTGCGGCAGTTTTCTGCGCGGCGTCTCTGCTGGACGCCCGCCGTCTTAGAGCCTGCGGATGGCTGGGCCCATCCGCCTCTTGTGCCAGCTGGCACTTGTGTGCGGCCGGCACGCGGACCTTAATCGGTCGCGGCCCGCCTGTTGACTCAGGCCGCCGCGGCTGATAGTCGACCCAGCTCGGGTCGCTGGACACTTTGGTGTCGCGCCTGCCGGCGCCACGTGAGCGGCTTCCACAGCCGTCTCCTTGGTCAAGGTTGGCGTGCGGACCTTGTTCGGTCGCAGCCTTGCGCCGTAAGAGCGCACGGCTCGCGGCCCTTTTTCGGGCGCGGCTGTCTGAGCGTAGGTAGCTTCAGCTGGCAGGTCTTTGCCACGTAGCGCTAGGTAGCTTAGGCAGCCGTAGCTGTAGTGAAGTGTACAAAAGTTTCGCAGCCTGACCGCAGAGACAGCTCGTAAGAGCCTCGCCTCGCTGTGCCAAAACGAAGGCCTGCGCGCCAGTGCTTGGCAGGGTCTAGGTGGTTGTTGGAGGGCTGACCGTTCGTCCGTTCGCGTGCCTTTTTGGGCCTCGCCCCTCCGCTTCGTGGGCTTTGGCTAGCCGCGAACGCGCCCTCCCCACCTTGTGTGCGACGGCACAGAGGAGCCTCGGCTGAGGGGCGAATTGTGAGTGCACATACGTGTGTCAGTGCACTTGTCTCTGCAGGCTGCTTTTGTAGCTTTGTTGCATGTTGTATTTAATTGAATGTTTATGCCAAACAAATGTTTTTTGCTCAAGTGCCTTGTTTTCTAAGTGCCAAGTGTGCACGGCAGTAGCGAGTTAAGGTAGCTTCGCGGCTCGCGGAGTTGCTACTCGCGACGGCCTGCGCCTTTGCAGGCTTAGGGACTGGAGAGCGTGCGAGAGGACTCGCGAAGCAAAAAGCAGCTGCCGCTCCGTGTTTGCTCTTTTGCAAGACCGGTTTGCGGCGCTTCACAGGTAATAGTAATAGTAATGGTAAAGGCAATAGTAATAGCAGTAAGCTGATGAGCATCCAGCGGAGACCAGGGAAAGCAGCGGACCGAAGGACCGCAGGACCAGGAGACCACGGGACCAGAGGACCGCAGGACCGGAGGACCACCCCTCGGCCAAACCTTCTCAAGGACACCCTATAGCCAAACCTTCTAGAAAAAAACCAAACCCTTGGCCCTCTCCACCCGTGCACCATAAAGTCCGAGCTCGTGGTCCAGTGTGTTTCCTGGACACATATTATGTCAGCCTGGGCCGTGACAAGGTATTCCTTTAACTCCTGCCATAGCAGGGTCGAGAGGGATCCTACATTGAGAGAAACAATGCTCAGACGTGTGTTATAGGACTGTCCCGCCCGCCGTCCCCGGGTTTGGCTGACTTCGATTTGCTGGCGGTTGGTGGTGCGGGAAGGTATGTGAGGGAGCTTTTGGGCCGTAATACGGCGCCCCTTATACCAAGTGTAGCCTTGGGTTTGCGCTCTGTGACTGTGACGAGCACGGCGAATAGCCCGCTTTGAGCCCGGAAGTCTGGGTTCAGTGTGGTGGGTGGCACCAAGGGCAACAAAGGCGATCCTGCCTTCACGTGGAACGACATTGCTGCAAAGCAGGAGATCTTACTGTCCCACGCCGTCTTTCTCCGGATATGGGCCGATCGGCTTATTGCCAGAATGGCCACGGATGAATAAGATCACGCCTGTTCAAACGATGCGAATCTGATCTCCTAATTCCTATCTACCAGACCGATAATTAGCAGACCACACACAAATATGGATGTTTGCAAGCCCGGCCTACACCGGACAGCTTGGCTTAATATCGCAAGCCCGAAAAAGCTAAGCTCAAAGCCACAAGGCCGTATGAATCCCGACCTCATATTGCATCAACCCCGGGAATCGCGCACCCCTACATTTAACATAAAAGCAAGCCCAATCGGACCTTCAACCTGTAACAGCCAGAGACATGCCCAGAAGGCTCATGCCAAGGCCCTTGCCATTCTTGTCCGCAGAATCCTGGAAGTTTCTTTCCATGTAGTCTTCAAAGGCAGGTCTACGCGGGTATGGAATTCGCGTTCTGGACTTCCTCACGCTCTCCCGACTACCACTCGACATTGCTTCTATCACTCCTCGCCTTAGGCCCAGAGATGCTACCGCCAGCCTTGAAGGTGAAGTCTGTGACCAGGAGCAGCTTCACCACGTCGTTATGGCCCTCTTGTGCAGCCAAATGCAGTGGTGTCGTGCCTGGCAAGATTGTTTGATCACCAATGGCAAAACCCGCGAATCATCAGAAGAGCTTTGCAAGTCCTGCTGGTCCGTTGGATTTCTAAAAATAAACAGAGTGCGGGCAGAGAGTTGCATGCGAGAAAGGAATCAAGGCTTAGAGAAGAGCAAGCATAGGGGCAGGGGGGTGAGAGGGTCGGGAGGGTCCTCCCGCCCTCCCACCCTCCAGCATCGTTTTTGTGCGGTCCCCCCCTGCCTTCACACCCCCTCTCCCATACCTTCTCCACCATGTGCCACTGCCACCCACCACCCGAAAACATATCGACTTATATAGCCACACTTCTGCTAGGAACTTATATCTCCTGACAACTGTCCTGCATGCCTACTCGCGGCTGCTAAATAGAGCAAGCCGTCCAGAGGGACATGATGTACACATGCCCCTGCTGTCAGGTCGACCTGCTCAGCGCCAAAGTGACACGAACCCCTACTCGTAAATCCGAAACGGTTCCACAACATGGGTGGAGAGTGCATATGGGTGCATTCCGTAAACCTTGAACCCTCAATCCTCACGATCGAACCCTAAACCGAAATCCCGCCCCTTTTCTGGGGGAGGAGGGAGCAATACGACGGTAAAAGTGCAGAGAGAAAAAGGGGGAGGGAGGGAGGGAGGGAGAGGGAGAGAGGGAGAGAGGGAGAGAGGGAGAGAGGGAGAGAGGGAGAGAGGGAGAGAGGGAGAGAGGGAGAGAGGGAGAGAGGGAGAGAGGGAGAGAGGGAGAGGCGAGAGAGAGAGAGAGAGAGGGAGAGAGAGAGGAGAGGAGAGAGGAGAGAGGAGAGAGGAGAGAGGAGAGGAGAGAGAGAGGAGAGAGAGAGAGAGAGAGAGAGAGGAGAGAGGAGAGAGGAGAGAGGAGAGAGGAGAGACCAGAGAGGAGAGAGGAGAGAGGAGAGAGGAGAGAGGAGAGAGGGACGCAGAGAGACAGAGAGACAGACAGACAGACAGACAGACAGACAGACAGAGAGAGTGACAAAAAGACAGACGGAGACAGAGAGACCGAGAGACAGAGAGAGACCGAGAGTTTCTCGATGCTGGCCGTCATGGACCGTAAGTTGAAGCCAACGAAAACATTGTCAACACAACGCGAACATTTTGCGATAAACCCATACCGACTATCCATACAAGCGAATACAGCACACTGGAGGATGCACCCCGAATGTGCCTGCAGTTCCGAAGCACCTCGCCGGAATACCCGCACCTGAGGCCTGAGGCTCCTGCGTTCTCCGTTGGTAGGTTCCTGCAGCCACTGCTGCGACCCCAGCATGCATGCAGAACCCCAGGACGTCATCGCAGCCCAAAACCGAGATCTCATTAGTCCTAAGCAAGAAAGATCTTTCTGAACACGAGGCTGCGGCTTGTCCTGCGAAGGACAACGCGACAAACTTGACCGTGACCCTGTCTGTAGTGTACAACACAATCCCCACACTTTCGGAAACGCCCACCTGAACAAACGCTGGCGTTCAATTTGCAATGTCCAACCCTGGTTCCCCCACTCCGTCAAGCCGGATGCACCTCGCCTTCGTCATTTCCGCCACCAGGAGCTTCACCACTTCGAGCTTTCCCTCCCTTGCTGCATGATGCACTGGTGCCCAGCCTCTGTGGTAGGACAACACTGCCGAGGTGACTGTTGATTTCGACTTTGAAGCGCAATTTTACGCGTACGGGTGGTCGATCCAGGCAGCTTGTATCCTAGAGCTAAGACTTGACTAAACTTAGCTGCGCCTTGCCCTGAAAGTTCAGCACGCGTCTTCGACAGAGCTGCACTCCGACTCGAAAGTTGAGCAAGGGATGCCGATGTGTGCCACAGGCGTCCGCAAAACAGCGTGCCACATAGTCTTCTGATTTCTGGTGCGAGGACTTCGATAAAGATTATTTGGCGGAATGCCACATGAATTGCTTTGGGTCCGTCCTGTCACTAATCCTGCAAATCTTTGTCGCCGTTCTTGCAGCTCTTCTAGCAGATACTGCTCTGCTCCTCTAGTGAGATGATTCGATTGCGATGGCCACATCATGCTCGCAAACCTTGGCGCACTTATGCTCGATGCATGCTGCCCGCTGCCTAAGCCCCATGCCTTTCCTGTCTGTTGCAGCCTGCGCGACCAGAAACAAACATCGTCGGTCGGAAAGCAAATTCGAGACGAAGCCTGCCCCAGAACAGCCAGGTTCAATGAGGCATTCCCAGGCAACAGCAGCCACGACAGACAGAAAACACTAGGTAGCAGTTAGTGCCGAACGATTATAAATACGGTTGACAGCCCCAGAGTCCTGCATGTATCAGCAGTTGTAAACGCCGATACACCTGTTAAGTACAACGATATAACGCCCTATGAACTGAATGATGTGATTTTGCTTTCAACTGTGCGTCTTCCCAAGAATCACCTAGCATGTCCAACATGATCAACTTGTGGCTTGCTAGTAGTATTGCCATGCTCCGTGCATGGCTGCCTGGTTGCAACGTTTTCGGAGCAGCAGGTCCACCACATCCCTGCTCCCTTCGATCGCTGCAATGTGAAGAGGTGTCCGACCTGAAACACATGCGTCATGGTGGAAGTTGTCATCGCTGAGTCATCACCCATAGACTCGAACGCGAGGAATTCACATAGCTGCAGCCCGAAACATAGACCGTCACACTTCAGCAACCGCTTCCTATCTAAATAGTGAAGACGGATCACGTCCTCATGGGCATAAAACTCAGAAGAACAACGCCAAACAGACACCCCTCCCTGCTGTAAAGCAACACTCAGTTCAAGCAATGCTGTTTGTCACCCTGAAAAAAATTAAAATGACACATCACAGAAAGAAAGGAATGTATGGAAACTACGCTGATCAACAATGAAAAGAGACTGCAATCTGAGAATGCCTCTCTTGCTGTTCAAGTGCTGGTGCTACTGTCTCGAGCTCCGGCGGCACACTGGTACTTGGAGTCGTCTTGACCACCTGAGACCCATACCTTTCTTGTCCCCAACTTCCTGCATGGGTTGCTGGCTTGGGCGTGAGGTGAGGTCGGCGAATCCACGTTGTCGCTACCCTGCGCTCTGGCCTTGTTGCTGCCCTTCCCCAGCAAGAGCTCGGCCACGTCTCTAAGGCACGCTGCAGCTGCCAGATGCAGTGGCGTCTTACCTGAGCAGGTACTGTCGCTCATGAGCTGGTTGTCACAGCACGATGATTCAGAGAAGGATCGTAACTGTCGTTCTGCGCAGTGCCGACAGCTGTATCACGACAACTTCAGGCCACCAGCCGTCTTGTCGCGGTCTAATCATTTGTGCAAAGCGGCGCACATTCCGAAGAGCGAGCGCGTTGTAAGTTTGTCGACAAGTGGAAGGCTGCCGTCGAAACAGGAACTCCGGCAGTGACCGAGGCGCATGCCCTCCTTATCCATGGCTTCCTGCAACCGAAAGCAGCCAAAAGCTGGTCCATACTCAGAGCCTAGCCGTGTTGGCAGCACTACATAAGTCTGCCAATCGCGGTTCGCAAAACAGCGAGTCAGAACCCTCCAGTCCTTGTCGCATTGACTCTCGAGCAGGAGATGGACCACATCTTTGTCTGCGTTGATGAAGCTTGCTATGTGCAGAGGTGTTCTACCTTGGCACAAGATGTCCTGCTTCTCTACGATGACATGCAAGGGTCGCCGGTTGACAACTGTCGGGCTCATGCACGTTCGACTTTGACTTTCCACGCCCAGAGCAGCAAGCAGTGTGAAACACCTAGCCCAAAACCCTGACTATGCTCAACAACACAGCCTTCCTTCTCTGACTGAGATCCCAGCCTTTGTGGTCTTGAGCTTCCTGCTGACATCATGGCGAAAGCCGGAATAAGCCGGCACTTACGAACGGCGTGTGTAGCAAGAGTCCGCAGTGATCCCGAATGGAAGCATTGTCAATTAGTCGTGGAACGAAGGTTTCAGTAGCGGGGCACTCGGGGCGATCTGGAGGCAAACCTGTCTCAATGCGTCGAGCGCTTTGCTCCAGCTGCACCAAACTTTGACAATTCAGTAGGGATGACAGGTGCTTGAGATAAAGACGTTCAAGAGAATACTCCAGTCCGGTGCCCTCGCCTTGTTGCAGTGTTCGTCTATATGAAGTTGGATCACGGGAAGGCTGCCCTTGAGGACTGCCAGATGCAGTGGAGTTCTACCTTCGGTGACAATCATGTTGCACCCGGCACACTCGACATGCACAAGCGGGCACAACAGCCGACATTCATGTACTGTTATGCCTGGCAGCACGGATTCAGCATCTGACCATGAACCAGATAGCAAATCCAATCCCTTCGTTCACATGCCTGACCGCCAAAACGTCTGCACTAGCAACATGCGCCAGACAAAAGCATTGCTCGTTCGTTCAGAGGCCCATGCCCTGATCATCCTTCGTCTCCTGCCAGGATTGAGGTGCGCGTAGATCACTTAGTGTGCATGGCACGAGAAGCCAGTGCTGTGTTTGCCAATGTTGCATTAGGTTGCAAGGTGTGAGTTTGCAAGCCAAACCGACAGTGAACCCCGCCTTGGTGCTGAATTTCTTCATCAGGAACTGCACGACATCCCTGCATCCTCCGTAAGCTGCCAAGTGAAGAGGCGTTCTACCTTGGGCAGCGAACGTGCTTACGGCAGCCGTGTTACCCAAAAGTCCCTGTAGGTCAGAGTGTCTTCTGAGTATGGCTTGTTGCATCAAGCCGACACTTCACTCCTTGCAAGAGCCCCTGGATGCCCCTGGAATTGAACGTGCGGACTGCTCCCTGAAGTCATACGAGCGCATACATAGGGTCCGCGCATTCATGGTCAATTGCCTCCTGGAAGCATGAAGCAGGCAAAGCAAGTTGCAGCTAGTTGCGTGAGCGCTGAAGAATGCAATCCCAGCACAATCTAGCTTTCACAGCTCGGGGTACCCAAAACCTCAACGAGAAAGCTGGCTACGACGGCTCCAAGTAGGAGTCGAGAGGCAGGTGGGGCCTGGTCGCTGTTCTTCTGCAACAGCAGCTCCACAATGTCTTTGCAGCCCGCCAATGCTGCCATGTGCAGGGGAGTTCTGCCTGGGCGGATATCTCAACCTCCTTCGTGCTGTTATGGCAGTCTTTGCGCCGAAATAGGTCGAATCATGGGATCTCAGGAAGACGGATTTCTGGCGCAACTTTGACCCGGACATGCACCTGACAACTGTTGACCTCGCGGGGCATGGGAATGTGGAAAACTAAACTGGTGCAGGTACTTCGCCAGCCTGGATCCTCCTCTAAGCCGGTCCCCAGACCCAACTCTCACCCCCGTTCGAAAACATGGTGGCATCTGGGGCCCGTGCGCTCAGCATCCGTGGCTTCCTGGCGATGTTGCCAACGATTGGGAAACCATTGCGTGCACATCTGATTGTGCAACAGGCCTGCGTGTTGGGGCTGAAGGCGTAAATCAATTTCCGTTGTTCCACATAACTGACACATCTTGTCAAGCAACCGGTACCGGATTCCAGGGCCTCAACTTTCGGCCGGTACGTTCTCACCTGCGAACTAACCAGAAACCCGCCTTACTGGCAAAGCCGATGCATTATTGGGCAACATAACCCCGCAATGTCGAAGATACTTGCCGGGCTTGCAGCTGGACTGCGATTGCTTGTACACTGCCACCCCATCGGCCTAAACCTTTTTGGAAGGCTTCACAAGAGATTGAGGTCTGCCGAAAGGCCTCCCCTCTCCCCTTCTCAGGGCGATTGACATCATTCTTCAACTTGTTGAGCTCGTTCGACTGAGCATCTGTTTGCAAAGGCATCACACCCTGCTGACTCACAGGAGCCAAACAAGGCCAGCGAGTAGCTGAACGGAGTTCAACTCGACGTCAAACAGACAGCCGCAAATCAACGGCCCAAGAATCTCGAGCGAAACCAAGTTGCTGACATGGTCAAGAAGATGACAGACTTCCTGTAAACTTGAGGTTCACAGCTGCATGCTGCCAGCTCATTCTTTGAAGCCAAAGCAAACATCACGAATGAAGCGGTTCGAAAACTCGTGGACCCGGATTAAATGCGACAGCCGATGCTGCTCTGTAAGCTTATCGTACGAGATCTATGAGTTGCGAAGTGCAAACCCACTCTCCGACAGTTAAGATTGCAAGCCCTGTCCGATGGAAGGATCTCATCTTGCCACGGCTTTCCTTCAGACGAACCAGCCTCGAGTGATTGATTGGGGCCAGAAGCGGTCAAGAGGATGACTGCCATGACAGAGAGCCAGAAACCCGGAGGATGTGTCTTGCAGCAGATGTTTCCTGTCAGTGGCATTTCCACGAAACCTGTAGGGCCTGAACTTCGACCCCCAGGATGTTGCAGATTGCTGTACGACGTATGTCACATGTCATTGAAGTCATTAGATGCCTGACAGATGCTGCCCTCATAATAAGTTGTGTCGCGTGCGAAATATGCAGACCGTGCCTGATTCAAGCCATTGTGGAGAGCGAGTGAGAATCGTTGCAACTTGAGCGCGAAAATGTTCCTCGAGTCCATCGGTGGAGCGCACTGGTGTTGCTCAGCATAGGCGATCACGGTGCAGCGAACCCCTCGCAAAACGAGACTCCAGAGTTGGTCTGCTGACACTGGCGGCTAGATCCGGGTCCATCCAGTGCAATGTGTGAAAAATGCGTGTCATTACATAGAATCAGAGCGCGGAAGAGTTCGAACCAGTTGGAGGCCACTAACGCCGCGGACTCACGTATTGTAGAAGCAGAAGATGAAAGACCCCGAGCCCGATTGTCTTGGCCAGAGCTTGACGATACAAGCGACTTCTGTAAGTCTTGCCAAAAGCTACAGGTTGCGCAAGTCGAATTTGGACTAAATGACAGCCTTGAAGACCTTCAGCTTCGAGAGGGTTCACCTCCGACACAGACTTGGCGGGCGCCCTGACTGCAAGCAGACGGTAAGGTTGGTCTCGTGAAGTTCTTGAGCCTTGGTTGCAATGGATCTCCGCCGCCAAATGCAAGAAGAAGAGGCAGTCAGCTGTAGCGCGAGCTGATAAGCAGCAGATACGGCTTGCCAGCTCGGCACAGATCGATCTCTGCATGCCTGCTCGCTCGGTTCCGAGTGCTGCCGGAAACGCTTGCCCATGTACCTCATGCCCTCGACAGAAATGAAACGGTCCTCGGCGCTCGGCACACCTCTCAGTACTAACTTGGCCCTTCGCTGCTCTACATTAAACCGCCGCAAAAGCGCATTTTGACACAATCTCGTTTCGGGAATAATCGCTTCCCCCGACCTTTTTCGGCGTCCAATCCGGGACCTGAGCCTCTCGTGCTTTTTGGCACCTCCAACCCAGTGCCTCTGTGTGCCAGCTACTCTTTCTTGACTGTCGAGACAACTACCGCAAATTGGGCCTGGAATATCCGACAGAGACAAGCCATTTTGGCCGAGAAATATGCACAGAACCGCAGCCTCCTGTTCCGTGACCTACGTGATCCCAAGCCTGAGCAGGTTGATACTTTGGAGTTGCGGCGATCCTACTGCACGTCGGCAGCGGACCCTGACACTTGCAGTGCCCATTTGGACTCGGAGATCGATACCCGAGGCTGCAGTCATTGGCAGCTAGACGGTTGTGATGCGCAAGTGACTTCTATCAGTGGGGACCTGTGTCGTATTCCTGACTGTCACCAGTTGCATGCCGATGTCGCTCTTGAGCAAACCATTGTTCTTTCTTCGGCTACCCATGTACAGAATGAATTTGAACAGCTTTGGTCCTCTTTTTGGGGCTGTTTTCCCGATCCGGCCGCCACTGACTGGGCTCGCCTCGGGGCCTTTGCACAAGCCTTCTTGCCACAAGCTCATTTGGAGCTCCCCCGCATCGCACTGCCTGAATGGCGCGCTGCTTTGAAACGATTCAAACCTCGAGCTGCTTGTGGGGCTGACGGTCTGGCTCATCTGGACTTGCTGCACATGGCCGATGTGCATGCCTTGCAGCTTTTGGATTTTCTTCATGACATTGAGGCCGGGGTACGCGAATGGCCAGCACGGTGGCTCGTGCGTTGTTTGTTGCCTGAAGAAGCCGACTGATCGACAGGATCCACAAGGATACCGCCCAATCTGTCTGCTAAGTTGTGCTTATCGTGCTTGGAGCGGCTTGCGAGGGCAGGTGCTTCGACGGCTGTCCACCATTGTGCCCGCCGGGGCTCTTGGGTTCATGCCACAGCCTGAGCCTTCCCAGTTTTGGTGGGTTCTTGCGGCTCAGGTTGAACTTGGGTGCCAGCAGGACACTCCCTTGACCGGCTGGATGTCTGACGATGTGAAAGCGTTCAATGCGCTTCCTCGCCATCCGGCTTTCTTCGCTGCCTCTCGCATTGGAATTCCGAATAACCTTTTGCGGCCTTGGCGCTCGTTCTTAACTGGGCTTGAACGCCGCTTTGTCATTCGACAGGCAGCCGGACAGTCGAGCTGTGGTTTCCCTGACGGCTGCGCCCTGAGTACCGCTGGCATGAATCTGGTGTGCCTTTGCTTCCACTCCTATTTGGAAGGCTTGTGCCCCCCAGGCCACCCCGCACTCGTATGTGGACAACTTTGCCTGTACTGCAACCTCCATCGGACATCTTGCTTCGGGTATGAATGTTACGCGTGCTTTTCTTGACCTGCTGCACCTGACCACAGATGCACACAAGTCCTTTGCCTGGGCCGTCTGCCCAGAGCGCCCAGCTCATCGTGCACAGCTTTCGGCTCTTGGCCTCCGGGTTCTGGAGCACGCACATGAGCTTGGTGGCATTCAAAGTTTCGGCCGAGTGACTCGCAACGCCGACTTAGTGCAGCGCTGTGCGGACATGCTCCCCTGGTTTCAACGCTTGCGCCGCTCACCCTGCGCGTTGTCCGTTAAACTGCAAGCTCTTCCTACTTGTCCCCTCGGTGATGCCTCGTTGGCCACATTGCGTGCCCAGGCGGTTCGGGCTCTTCGTTTTTCCATTAGTGACCAATTGGAACTGACCCAGGCTTCTACCAACTGTGGACCGCCGTCAGCGATCTGCGACGGATGGCTAGGAAGAATGCAATGATCCTGCCTATGTGGGCTGCTTTTATGTCGGAGTTCCGCGGCCAGCTCTTTCATGGCCCCTTCTCCAAGCTGCTGCAAGCGCTGAACCAGGTGGGATGGCGAATTGAAAATCCGCCCTGCGTCGTTGACCATGACGGTTTTGAGCACGCCCTCCTGCGCATGCCACTCGAGTTGCTTCGACGCCTCTGCGAGCAAGCCTGGCTTAACCATGTCGCCTCCTGTCACAGACATCGCGAAACTATGTGCGATTTGGCGGGTATTGATTGGTCCCTTCTGCATGAAGACGGTAATCGCCTTGGGGCCTTGGACCAGGCCCGCCTAGTGCGCTGCGCTCTGGTGCTTTATTGATTGGTGCCAGCCACGCTAAGTTTGACAACTCCCAGGATGGAACGTGCCAGCACTGTGGCACCGCCGACACTCCCGAGCATCGTGTGGTTCGGTGTCCCTCGTATGCTTCGGCTCGCCAACCCTTCGCCTGGATCTGTGATAAATGCCCTTCTTCAGGCGGCTCGTTTCAGACTTTCACAATTTTGTGCCGGACGCAGGGTCTGTACAGTTGGTGACCTGGCTCGTTTGTGCTGACCTCTTCGGACGCTCGCTCTGCCGAGCCCGAGCCCGAGCGTACATGTTAGGGAGGAGGGGGAGGAGGGGGGGCGTTGTAATATTACGGGGAAGGGATTACGCGAGCATCCAGAGGCCCAACAGGAAACAACAATTGCTCAGAGACGTAGCCAAGTCGAACATGCCCGCGACAATGCATGGGTCGCCCGACTGAAGCTCCTGGCCTGGTCGCACCCATCGCTCAGGAGGAGCTCCACCACCGGCAAGCGATTCCTTGATGCCGCGCTGTGCAGCGGCGTGCTCCCTCAGTTGCAACCATCAAATCTACGTCTGAGTGCGAGTGGGGCAAATTCATGTCTTCAGGGCTGAAATGACTCCGGACTCGTCATTGACTTTAGGTATGGGCCCCGTGCCCTGAACGTCTCTGGAATCCTGCCGGCCAGGCACAGCAAAGCAGAAAGACCAGACAAGGCCTCTCAAGACCTACTGGCCCCACCTTGTCGCAATCATAATCCAGCAGAAGCTGTCTCACCACATTATGGTGGCCGCATTCAGCTGCCAAGTGAAGCGGCGTTCTCCCTCGGCTTCTTTGCCAAAGCCGGACGCAAAAGAAACGTCCGCGGGTTGTACGGACAGCACCATGTAAATACACCTAGACCTGCGGTCTGCCGAGAAAGACAAGGCGAGCAAGAAGAATGAGAGCGACAGTTCGAGAGAGTCTGAGAAAGACTGAGAGCACGTGAGAGAATGCGATGGCGAGAGGGAGTGAGAGAGAGACAGACAGAGGGGAAAGAGGGAAAGTAGGACAGCGAGACGGGCGTTTCTGTATCTGTACGTGGTTGGATGCATATGGACACATACACATCTCAGGACTTCAGGTCAACAGGCTTAGCTGGAATTCCGAGGCTTGAGCCCTTCTCGTCCGTGGCTTCTTTCTGCACGCGTACAGTGGACACGGCAAGGCTTGAGTCATGAGTTCACCAAAAGGACCGAATAGCCCTGCTATAGCACTGGCAGGACTGGACGGGGTTTGTTGCTGCTTGACGCGCTGCAGCACCCTCGAGGTGGGATGACATTCCGGCCTGGCACGGGCGATTCGGGTGCTCCAGTAGCTTCGCGACAATGTGCTCGTGGCCCTCCGAGGCAGCCAAGTGCAGAGGTGTCCCACCTCAGCAGGGAGCTTCAAGACTCCATCTGCCTTGTGGCCAACAGCACCGGGCGCACTGAACGGATCATGGCTCATGTCTTATCAACAGCAGATTAAGATCCAGTCGTCAGGCATGAGGCCCGTGCCTTCCAAGTCTACTGCGTCCTGTCTGCAGCAAGGTGCATGGTTACACATGTTGCGTATGATGATTAGCCTTTTGGCTGATGAACACTCGAAACCTGCCCGCAGGCGGAACAAGGAAGCTCTGCATGTGAGACTCTAGGACTTAAGTGCTTTGATTGGCTTTCTCCCTGGCCGCCCCACCGCGCTTCCTGCCTGATCCCATTCCGCCGCCAGCAACAAGTCGACGACTTCTGCGTGACCCTCTGAAGCTGCTAGATGAAGCAGCGATCTGCCTCGAAGTGATATTCTCTGCACGAGGCTTCACAGGCACAAAGACCTTCAGCTCAAAATGGTGAAAAACTTCAACATTTCTAAATGTCGGACTGCACCGGGATCGTCTTGGAACTGCGTACTCATGCTGAGGTAGCACACCCTTAACAGGCACCTAGCATCCATCGCTGTCAGCTCAATGGGCTGACAGTGACTCTATGCCGGAGCGTGCTGAAGCTGAGTCAGCCGAAATCCACTTGTCTTCAGACCGAAGTCACCCGCCAGAGCTGCTCAAGCTACTTACTGTGGTATCCTTCATATGCGACGGCACCTTCGGAGATGGTCGCCAGCAATCCGTCTCCCGTTAGATGCATTTACTGTAGCACATGGGAAGCACCGACAGCCCCTGTACCAAACGAAGAGCGGATCTGAGGCTTGCCGAGGCTCAGGCCTTCTACATCTGCAGCTGCCTTCATAATGTCGTGCATTGAAATCAACAGACATCCGTCTTGGCCTGGCCCGCCTTGTCGGGTCGCGTAATGTCCAGCAAGAGCTCTACCACGGCGTTCTTGCCGCTTTTTGCTGCTACGTGCAGCGCGGTCTCTCCTTCACAGCTGCGTTCCCCCCCCCCCCCCCAAAGTCTCAATGGATTTTGATTTCAATACTTCGGATATATGTGATCCGAGGACCCTGCGATGCATCTTTGTTGTGGCTTCCTGCATCCATCTTCCAAGGAGAATGTCGCCGACGTTGACTGTAGCTAGGCATTCCGCTGTTGACGCAAGCATTGGCCAAGCAAGAACCATCAGGTTCAGCAAGACTGCATAGAGAGTGCGCGAGCAAATGCCAGCTCCTGGAGATTACAGTCAAATCTTGAAAACTAGGTTCATGAATCAAGTTCACTTGCACGGAGGTTCGCAGCAGCTGGACTCGTCTGTTTCTGGGAGAAAGCTCAACCCACACTGAAACCTTACCTGTTTCTCACCCCTCAGATTCACACTGCGCACCCATCACACTTCGTTGCAAAGCACAGCAGTCATCGGTGCCCACGCTGCCTGCTGGCACCCAGCTTGGATCAACGCATCGACCACATCTTCGCGCCCATGCTCGGCCGCCGTGTGAAGTGGTCTCAGGCCTGAGCGGAGAGCTCCGCGAGCTGATGGCTGACTTATCTAAGAGTTTGCTCTCGTGTGCAGCTCAGCCCGAACGGCCGAAGCTGCAGCAGCCCCATCATCCCCATCTAGCGTGGATGTGCATCAGACTCTTCTCAAGATGGCCAGCCTCGCCATGCTCGCAGCTCGGGGCACGATAAATCGGGCTCATGTGTTTGGATTTGGGGCTGCCTGTGGTTTACGCAACTACGTGCAACAAGAACCGGGGCAGGCAAGAACCCGTCTGACTTGTAAATTTCAACCTCCGTCCAAGGGCAGTGCCCTCTTTCGTCTCTATCTCCTGCAAGTTTGCAAGCTCAAAAACTTCGTCCGTTATCGCATGTCAATCCAGCACCTTGTGGCAGTTCCAGTTGATCAGCTTCCTCACGACCTTCACTCGACCACACTTCGCTGCGATGTGGAGGGGCGTCTCTCCTCGGTCGGTGCGTGCTGCAACAGGTAAATGGGACAATTACCGTGATGATTCGAAAGGCTCTGCTAATTAGTTAACAGCTGGGTCGAATTGCAGAAAGAAGCAAGGTGTGACATTCCACCATGCCGTCTACCCGGCCGGGCGTTCGCCAGACTGTCATAAACCATGGGCAGCCCGACTGCGCCAAGACATGCACAAGCACCCCTGGATTCCGCTCGACGTCGACCTTATCATTGAAGCGGCGTTTGGCCACGCGAACTTTACTTGACGAGCAGCCCTTTTGAAGACGTTCGGAGGCCCCAGGATCCGTTGAGAATCGAGTCGCTTACCACGAGACGAGTATTCACTTCCAGTATGCACCAAAGCGGCTGAGAGTGCATGAGGGGAGAGATGCTGACTCGCGTGACCCGCAAACGAAATCGCAAATGACCGCGAGTTTCGTTTCCACGCCAAGGACACGTTGCAAAATCTGCCCAAGGAGGGAAACAAGATCTCTCGTTCTCCGACCAAATAAATGTATTACTCTTAGGTTCATCAGAACAGAAGAGCACCAGCACGAGATATTGCACTCCTTAGTACGGCTCCCAAGGCCGGTGCCAGTCTTGTCGCTTTTGGCGTCCTTGCAAACATTTCTCTCGACGAGACACCTCAAACCTCACGGCCCGTTGATGGAACTATATATGATCCCGGTTCGGCCAGCCCCCCCCCCCCTCCCCCCCCCAATGGTTCCACCTCGCCCCCCTGTGGTGTGGTGTGGTTGTGGGTTGCTTCCCCCTCCCTGTGGTGTGGTGTGGTTCGGGAGTGGGTCTGCTTAGGCTGGTTACCACACTCCCCCCTGTGGTGTGGTGTGGTTTGGGTTTCCTGCGTGGGTCTGCTTGGCGTGTGAGCCCTCGTGTGGAAAAAGCTTGCACAGTCACACACACAGATTCGGCTTGGGGAGCCGGGGGGGGGTCGGTGAACCGAGAACCGGGATCATATATTCGGCATGGCTCACGCTCCAAATACGCGGCCTCGTTGCAGCCGCCTTTGAGCAGCTGTTCGACCATGTCGACGTGCCCATACTCCGCCGCTATATGAAGCGGTCTCATGCCTTGCTGTCGGTGCTTGTGCTACACTAGCTGTAGGGGCTGTTCCGGGGCGCTGATGATGCTACGAAATGTGTGCGACCAGTACCAGCTTCCCTTCAGATGTTCCTACTGAGGCGTCCACTGAGTTCGCTATGGAGCTTGCAAATGAACCCCCAAACACATGAACACACACGAACACACACGAACACACAAACAAACAAACAAACAAACAAAAAAAGTGATATCAAAGGCATGGCACACCGAAGATGCTACACATAATGATAAAGATACCTACCTGCCTCAATCGTAATCGTAGCAATGCAACGGCATCAAGTTATGCGTACTAATTCTTCCAAAGAGCAATACAAGTACTACTTACTACTTGGACAATTACTAGCACAGATTCACTGATGAGCATCGTAAGATCTCTTCATCTAGCTTGCTGCCTTCCGCGTTGCCGTTGTGATACGAACCCGTTTCCCATCGTAGTTTCGAGAAGGATTGCCAGAGCGGTCTTCAAGAGTCATTCTCCGATTGTGCTCCCGGTAACTGTATGCAACAGTCGCTATTCTGTCGAGTTTTACGTCAGTGCACGAGGTTGGACAAGGGATGCCAAAACGATTATGACTGCTGGTTTCCACCCAACGGCTTCCGTCAGCTCTTCGATGTGTGAAAGCCTGCGGCCGTGGAAACAAGGGTTTCAAGCCGATCCGCGATTAAGGCATACTGGTAACCAGTTCTACCTTTTCTCGTTCCAAATGAAGCTTCCCCGGATGCGAAATCATTCTTACCAACCCTTTGCAACGAGTAGCGTACTCCAGTGCCCGTTCTGTCCGTCTTGTTGTTCAATGGAATTCCAAACTGTGCATCGTGCGGGTCTTCGAAATGGCTGCAATCTCAGTGGTTGGTCGGTTGGTACTAACCGAAGAAGGCGTTTCACGTGGTTTTCCGTTGGATTTCCAACCAGAACGTCAATCAGGAGGAGGTTTTCCTTCAAGCGTTCTTCTTACTGTTTGGAGTTTGAAGCGAAGGGAATACAGGCTCCGAGCAGACTTCCCCTCCAAGCCCGACAACGTCCAAGAGTCCGAAACATACAGTTCAAACTTGGAACTCCGCAAGCATGTTATCAATTTCGATTTCAGTGATTCCAAGATTTCGTACATGAACCAAATCTACAAAATCCAAGAGCCCCAAGAAACATCATAAGTTCGGTGCATCTTCAACGGACTCTGGCAAGTCAATCCGGGTGTTCCGAAAAATCAACCTGGGGTTATACACATGTCAAGCATGCCCAACAGAAATAATTCCAACATCCAAAAAACTTCCACAAGCTGAACAAGTTTGTAGTGCGTGAATCTTTGGAGTTCCAGGTTTTGCTGGGTTTGCCAGACGTTCCGTAACATGTCGGAACTTCCCAAAATCGGAATGCCATGTTCAATATTGTTTGTAACACGTGGAATTGTCGGAGTGAAAGCCAGGAGGACAACAGTGAACCCCACCGAACACTCTGCACAAAACTTGCTGAAGCCTTCCCACCATCAAGGTCAATCACTCTCCGTTTCTCAAGCCAAAACGGCCTGCAGATATCAAGCTTAAGTGCGCACAGCGGCACTGTTCATTCCCAGCATCACACTTAATTGCAGCCACACATAGTAAGCCTTAAGCAACTGTACAACACCATGAAGCCATGACCGTCACAAATACAGCAACCTCGAGACAGAGACATACAGAGACCATCCAATGACAGACATGTCCAACACTCCGAACACAGTCCTCTTTGCACGACTAGAATTGCCAAGGCTCCCACCCCATCAATCGCAGGGTGTGAGTCAAGACTTCGACACGGAAAGTTCTCCATAAGAAGACGGTCCGCAGCGAGAGTGACCACTTTGAACGGGGTATGCGAAAACCAGAATGCGTCAACAAATCCAAAAAAACTGGAAGTCAGAGCGTTGGAATCGTGAGCTGGTCTGGAGCTGGGGTTCTGCATGTTGTTCTGGATTTGCTGCGTTTTCGGTGCTGAGTTTACGCACGAGATCAGATTGCTATGTACTTCCCAGATGTGGGGATGAATTCGATTGGAAAGTCAACATGTTCTCAGAATGTCGCAAGAATCGAGGGTTGATTTGCGAACTGTTTTTTCGTAATAAGGAATGGGAAGCCTCATGCGCTAGAGGACGGAGCGGGGTCAGGCACAAGGCCGGGGCCATCACAGTCCACGGCTTCCTGGCAGGGCAGACACGGACTGTTCAGCCATACAGTTCAGATCTGTTCAGCATTCACAATCCCTGCAAAATCTACGCTCCCACCTTGGTGCACTTTGCTCGCAGCAGAACTTTGACCACTTGCATGTGGTTGTGCATCACGGCTAAATGAAGTGGTACTCGATCTCAGTGGAGAAACATCACTAGCACTGGGGAGATCTGTGACGGCGCCACGCGTCTGAGTGAGTCTTCTCACTGCTCTACCGAGGCCGGCAAACGTGAGGTAGTCTAAACATTGGTGACGCTGTGCGCTCCTCAGCTACTTTGAAGCTCGTTCATGGCCGAGGACGAGTCAAACCTTTTGAGGTGTCTCCTGGGCCTGCCTCAGAACGTCTGCAAATGTACCTCGGAGCCCGGCCACTGCCATCGGCGGCATCCTGCATCTTTGCTCGCGCGAACAGCCCTAAGGGCCAAGAGGCTGCATTGCGATGTGCTGCTGTTTGCAAGCACAAACTAAGCCCTACGGTGCTTACACCGCTACAGTTCCGCCTTCATATCCGATTATTCCCTGATCTCCGCTGCCTTCCCTTTGATGAGCAACTGGACGATGTGAGCACGTCCCTTGCTAGCGGCCAAATGAATAGGCAAGTTGCCTCAGAGCGCTCGGGCTCAGAATGCATCTGCTGGGGTTGCGAAGCCAACAGCACCCTCAGTCCACAATCAAACACCCTGAATGAATGCGCCAACCAACCAACTGCTGCAATCAAACAGACGACCGCCTTGACAATTCTAGGTCTGTAAAGCTCGTGCCACAGGGGTGGTATGATCTAAACCGGTCAGCGATTTATGTAAATGTCCTGTCAAGGCATTGACTCAACACAGTGATGTTGAAAATATGTTCCACATCCGTGCTTCGCAAACCCCGTTTCAGTTGTGGGTGTAACCAACGCACGTGCCACTGGCAAATGTGTTTCTACTGTGCCTCTCCTGATAGTCTTGCTCGTTTACTTGCACACGGTAGTGTGTGTGAAAAAGGCTAGCCTGCAAGCCCAAACTATCTTGTAGCAGTAGTGGTACCTGCAGTGCCAATAATCCTAATCCTGGTGATACGATTTGCAATAGCAAAGCAAACCGAGCAGCCGTCGGCGTCGTGCATGTCCTGCTTGGTGCAGGCAGTGTCAGCTTGTCGGGGTAGAGTTCAAAGTTGTGGTTGAGGGATCCTTGAAGAATGGTGCACAACTTAGGACACAGAGCCACATGAGTCGCTTCAGGGCATGCTCCACGTTGATCAACGCTCGAATAGTCAGTGGCTGCATTGGTCTGAGACCACCCATGATGTCACTCCATGTTGTTTCTGATGGCCTGAAGCATTCATGTTCTGTCTACAATCTACAACCATAGCACGCCGGTGTCGGCCATGCCGTCTGCACCTGGAGAGCCCTGGACGGAGAGTTTGGCACGGAGTGCAGAGCAACCAAGCATGAGACCGAGGCAACGGAGCAACTGAGCGAAGTCGATGACCCCGCCCTTAGCACTGCCGCACGAGCATTCTGACGATGTAGCACAGTTGTGAGCGAGTCGACTGCCATGTCCTTCTGGGCTCATGTCAGAAGCCTCTGCCAGAGGGTCTCCACCCCCGACTCATTTTTTGGGGAGTGAGATGGGGAGGTCGAAGCCACGACGTGTACAGCGAAAGGCACCGACACAAAGAGAGGCAGAGACGACACCAGCTTTCAGATCCAGAAACGGAACCTTGCAATTATGGAGCATTCGCCTGCCTTGCTATCGTCCTCATCCTCACACTTGAACTTGTGCAACGGCTACTTGGAGCATTGGTTCGGTCGCTGTGCCTGCGGCGCGTCGTTTGACACCAATGTCCCGACAACTTGCGCATTGCCACGAGCAGCTGCCAAATGCAGTGGCGTGTCACCTCGAGGCGCGTCAGTTGCATCTCAAAAACGCTTGCTGTCACTTACATCAACAGACTGGCGGCCCTCTGAGGCCACAGCCTCGGCATGTCGTGGCTTCCTTGCGCAAACACAAATCTCATAGGCCACGTTCCAAAAAGAAGCGCTCGCCCAACCCTCTCTTGCCGCACTGCAACTATCCAACAAGCGCAACAAGCTCACATCGAAGCAGAACCCTGCCAGCAAGCAACGGCATGAAAGCGCAAACTTTCAACATCCAAGTGCTTCCTGCGCGGCTTTACGATCCAGCAGCTCGTTCACAACTTCATCGCGATCCGATAGCGAAGCATGGTGCAGTGGCGTCCAGCCTTGAGGCAGTCGTGCAATCAGAGACGCACTCTTCGAGCGTTCGGTTTCAGCACTGCCAAGCCCCGAGCCATTCTTATCTATGGCCTCCTGCATAGCATTCCGGGTGCTCACACGGTGCTGCTAAGCTCGGCTAGCCTTGTTGGCGCCCTGGCTCAGGAGAAACTTCAGTGCCGGAACGTGGCCGCTTTTTGCTGCCAAGTGCAGGGGTGTTTCACCTCGGGGCCATGCGTCACCAAGCTCGAGGGTATTCAACCCGGCCCTTTGTGCAGGAGTCTTGCTCTGGATGCACACTATGCGTGCTTCGAACACCTATAAATAGCTCAAAGAAATCCCGAATCCCCAAAGCCCGGAGAGCAATAAAGCCCTGAGAAACCCGACTCCTCAGAAACATGTGTACGAAGCTGCACAAGTTGACTCACCTGTCAGTCGTTGAACTGAGACCCAAACCATAGAAGTTCTTGGCTTCCTGAAACAAAGGTTGAGAAGCCAAGCAACTGCAAATGCTCCAAACATTGCAGGGGTGACCGAGACTTGCTCCGTGCATCTCTGCAGAACACTTCTGCAAAACATCACTCACTGCACTCAAAGACCGCAGCCTGGTCTGCTCGACTGTGCAGCAAGAACTGCGCGATCGTGACATGTACTTCTTGAACGAATTGGTTCTGCTTCTTTCCGGCTCGGGCGGCAAAATGCAAAGGGAGGTCACCTCGTGGGTGAAACGGTCACGGCTACCAATGTTGACCGATCGTTGGGACTGCTCAGAACATGTCCGAGATTGCGGCCACGAGCTGAAACATAGAGCAGCATACTCTGAGGCAGCCGCCATCTTTTGTTCTGTCTGCATGGAGATTAACCACCTGGCCAAACTCTCCCAGCATCCCCCATGCATATACGGGCCACAGGGTTCAAAATGGAAGGTGCACTTTGTCCCGTCGCCCCACCCGTGCCTCCTCAGGCTGCAACACAGCAGCGTCCGAACGTTCCCAGGATTCCAGCACTACACCATTCACAGCCCATTCATCCACCACGTCCCTGACCTCTTGGCCATTGTAGAGATACCGCCGTCCAGCACGAACTTCCTGCATGCAAAAGAATGGAAAAGCCAAAAGGGAGAATTCTACATCCTGCAGAAGATTCGGTCTTTTCCGAGTTTACAACGTAGCCACCTTGAGGTTTCTGTCCGACGCCCTGCAAACCGTAAATCTGTCCTCGTTCACTAAACTCCGGACACTCTCGAAATTGCCATCTCTGACGCTTCGGTGGATTTTGCACAGACCTGACTGCAGGAATGAGTGGGTCGGACGGAGAGAGATGCAGACAAAGGCAAGTAGACAGACAGACAGAGAGAGAGAGAGAGAGCAGGTGAAAAAGCGACGTCGAAAGAGCTGCAGCACGCAGCTTTAACACTCGAGGGGAACTACCTGGTGCTAATCCGTAGTTTCACAGAGGGCCTGCTCGCCTCGAGTGCTAGTGGCTGCATCTAAACGTTGGCTCCTCAGCCTCGTGTTTCTCTGGGCCTGCTGAGCGTGCAGGCTTTACAGGGTTGTCCAACTGGTTGATCCCCGAGCGCTTGAACCGATGAACCCGTGCACCGAGAGCCCAGCCATTGACTTGATCCTCACAGGGGCATGGTCTATTGTTTCTTTCCAAAAACCAGTGTGGGCGAGCCCTGGAGAGATAAAAGCAAGAATTGACCATGGTTGCAGTGATGGGCTTAAGGCGCAAGCAGAGGTGTCAGGTTCTGGCCGGACTTTCTTCGGTCGGAATTATGCTCAGGGGACCTGCAAAAGGAACAGTAGCTATCAAGGGAATAGTAGGAATCAGTGGGGTCGAGATTGTGCCAGGGACCTCGGAACGAAATAAAGAAAGAATCTGATGCCGAATCGGAGTGGCCAAAAAAACACCGTAGAGACTGCAGGGTTTGCCGTGGAGATGCGGCTTGGGGTGAAGAGCTTCGTGTTCAGGCTCTTAGGTAGTGAGGCCCACGAGTTCTTCAGACATGCCTCCCTAGCCGCCCAAATTCGTGAATCGTGTGCATCGGTCGACATGTTTGGACAGCCTCAAGCTTCGCATCCTCTTTCTCTTGTGCTTGCACCTGGGGCATAGTTGCTGTCCAACCACAGCCAGGAAAAAAGGACGGACTAGCTTCTGAAGACCCTTTGATAGAACACAGACAGAGACTCACATCTCACCCTGATACACAGTCCAAGCCCAGTCGCTCTCCACACATCATGTTGCATCTCTTGCCGGTGCTCCAAGAGTTTGAATTTGGGATCGTTTGGATCCACGTCATCTATGCGACGAAGTTCTCGAGACAGTTTCCATTGAAACTTCCGAATACCACACGTCACCATTCTGGATCTGGTGAACATCCTCTCTTTCAAGATGTGCGCGACATATGCTACTTCCCCTCGCTGCGAGACTCCCAGATGAGGCAGATCTCTGTTAGCAGGGGTGCATCTCAGCCTTGGGGGCCAAGGCCGCTGGTATGCGAGCGCTGCTGGGTCTGGCTCGTCTGTGCCCTGTGCCACATCTTCCAGCGCTTTAGTTACCACGACGAGTGAGTGATCCCTGTCAATCGCTTTCTCCAGCTGTTTCCTCCATTCCTCGAACCACCTACATCCGAACTCTTCTTCCCGGCCGTACAAGTTGTGGCACCAGCAATTCCTTTCCTCGCTGTTGGGATCCGACGTGTCGTGGCTGTGTTGCCCAAAGTAAGGGCTTCCTTGCGGCAGAAAAACACAGGCAGTGCTTCCCGTCTCTCTTCGTTGTCCGGAGATCTGTTCCCGTGCGGAACTCTCTACCAGCATCTGCCACTCTGCCTCGTAAACTCCAGGAAAAGACACGATTGTATTGATATCGGTTCCCCGCTCATTGGCAACATGACCAATGAACGGCGCGCTGCCAGCCATGAGCGTGATTCACCGATTCCGGTGAAAAGCCCTACACGGAGAATCTAGGCATTGACCAACAACTCAGAAATTTCATCCTGCTGGTACAAGCCCATGCCTGTCGAGAAGCTTGACGCTGCTCATGTGCACTTTCGGGCTTAGGGCGCAGAGTCGACGCCCTTTCTCCCTGCTACAGTGCTGAAGATCTCCACAGAGACAGAGGTACCGAGAGATGCAGCCAGGGCGGCTAGGATTTAGCGTTAAGTGCTTTCCGGAAATCACCATGCGACTACTCGTGCGATGCTACGAATACTATGTGAGCAACTCTGCTGCTGATGCATACTTCAGTTCGCGCCGGACAAATTCCGGACCTGGCACAACCGACTGCTTCCGCTCCACAACTTTGAATTTCATGCCCTGCTAACTGTGCAACAACTCACTCAAGCCATACTCGAGTAACACACAAAGGCAACAAGAGAGGAGAAGGCGCAACATAAACTACAAGAAAGCAGAGGTGACGAACCCTGACATCGTCTAACACACCAAGGTGAATATGCAAATCGTAGAACGTACATGAGATGCAAGCCCGAGTGGTTCGACACAGCGGATACTTGGTCCAGATGGCCCTAACTCAGCTTCTGCGTGATTAGAGCAAACGACCTTCACGGGGTGGTCGCATGCTTTCGGGTGAGCTGGGGCTGAGCCCGATGTGGAAGCAAGAAAAGCTACTTCGGATCTTTTCTTCGTTAACCTGCAAGATGTTCCCGAGGCTGGCGGCTTAGCCTCTGGAGCACTGCATGTGCATTCTCATGAGCCTCACGCCCTCCGCTTTTGCAGCCGCCAGCTTCGAATTCCACGGGAGGGCCCGGGCTGAAGACTGCACCAGGCACCCTTCTGAGCAGCCCGGGCTGTGCTACTTCAAGGATCATGGGACTTAGTAGCTAGGGTCATAATCAGGGTAACTATACTTATAACCCCAATTAGTTAAGCTACCTATAACCTGACTTACTACTTCCCATGATCCTCCAAGCAAGGTCTGCTGAAGTCAGTCGTCCCAATCCTCAGTGCGCGCGGACCAGCTTTTCGGACTGCTGTCGGGACAGGGCCCGGATGGAAAACTGTTCACTGAAGCCTCATGAACAAAAACCGTGAACCCTCTAAACCCAAACTCCCCTAAACCCTTCTGAACCTAAGCCTTTTGAAGCCCTAAACCCCTCAACCCCAAACATCCCCAAGCCTAAACCCCGAAGACCGTCTCAGCGGACGCGTGGGCCTTGCATGTCGGGACCCCGGCGCTTCCTTCGTCCAGCCCGAGGTCTCCTAGCACCTCCCTGGCAACGAAGAGGGCTGAGGGCTTTTATGAGTATGAGCACGAGTACGAGTGTGAGTATGGGTACGAGTATGAGTATTTGAAGGCAAAGGCCTCTTAGGGTCTAGGGTTTCTGGGGTTTGGGTCCGAGTGTTCAGGCCACGGTTTTGGGCTTGAGCCTTGGGTGTTTAGGTCTATGGGGCTTAGTGCTTACAGGGCTTACAGGGCTTAAAGTCGTTTTTTTTGCGCCCCCTTTTCCTCTCGCCCTTTTTGTGTTGATCGGAATGCCTGTCAGGCTTCGGCTTCGGGGACAGACAACACTTGGAGGATCGTGGGACTTAGTAAGTAAGGCTATAAGTACCTTATTTGGGGTTATAGGTATAGTTACCCTAATTATAACCCTAGTTGCTAAGTCCTATGATCCTTTAGCACATGGCAACCCATTCCACCCCTGAACCCCATTGATGGCACGTCACCCTCACAAAAGAGTCAGTTGCTGTTTCCACTGCAGTCACAGCACAATATTATTCTCGAAGGCTCACCCAATACAGCACATAGTTCCTTCACGACTGCTGGGACTGGCTAGGATCAGATCTCTCTCCAGCAAAGCAGACGACGGCACAGTAGCAAATCTAAGAATCAAGGGCTTAAGGTTTAGGGTTCTGGGCTTTCGGGTCTTGGGCTTACCCCCACATGGTCTCAACAAGCATTTGCAGAAGCAGCCACCTGCTCCCATCCATCATGGGATCTGGCGGCTGGACCTCTGCTCCATCAGATATTCTGAGTCACAGCTGCAGGGCTGGATGCTTCAGATTTCTAGATTCGGCCCTCAAGGAGCTGCTTCAAAGGGGAGGGCTTGCGGTTCAAGCCTTAAGCAGGCCCCAGAAGCGAGGATCCTGCCTTGAACTCAGGAGGTGTCTGCAGTGACAAACTACGCTGACCTGCGATCTTCGGCCGCCTTCGATCAGATAGGGACAAGATCAGCTGCATAGTCTGAAGTGCTGGGGCTGACCCCGAAATGCAGAAAACATCTGCAGGTCATCCGCCCGGACCTCCTGAAACGACGACCACTGTCTGCAAGCGGAGAGTCCCGAAAGAATCGTGCGCAGAACCTTGAGTCATCAAGCCCCACACGTAACCAGAACCCGCTCGGCTACAGCTTCTCCGGCCCTTTGGCAAACGTCGCCCGCCCGCAACCAAGGGCCCGGCAGAGCCGCCACCAGCTGAGTCCTCGGCACTCGAGACGAGAACTTCGGTTGCTATACTGGAATTCACGTAGCATCACATAACATGTGCTACAATCGAGTACGCTCTGCTATATCCGACATGTTCTATCTCCTACTCCTACTTCGAATTTACACATTTATGCGAGGCTGTTGTGTAGAGCTACTGCCAGATCATTGTCACATCCCTCCGAACTTGCAGTTCGAGCCCTACTTGGAGCAACTTCACTGTCGTACGAAACATTGACATTGACCACAATGGAGCAAGTGTCACACATCAGAGGCCTTCCTATGCTCCGAGAGATGCGTGCGGCTAAAGACTAAGCATCCTACCTCGCGGTACGAGAGGAATTTGAGGAAGCATGCAGGTAGGCAACCCGAGGCAGCATGTATTGTGTGATGAGTGGTGTATAAAGTATAGTCTGCATAGTGTTGTGGCTCAGGGAAAGTCTTGCTCCACCTCAACGGTCTGCGTATAGCTGGGGCGGCACGCAGAAATTTTAGTAGCACACGGTGCGAGGAAGCACGGTTAGGGAACACTTTGAACAAGCTTGGCTTCGAACTAGAAGCATCAAGGTCTCAAAAGCACAGCACAGATGACCAAAACCAGATCCGATTTAATGGTTTAAGGCTCAAGAAGACCCTAAATCCTAAACGCTTCAGGATAGGAGGCCAAGGGTGTGGTGTGTGGGGCTCCAATCCTGCACCCTGAACAGTAGCTTTGCAATCTAAGGGGCAGAATCGAACCCCATCTCAGCCATGGCTGCCCTCACAGAGACAGATATGAGACTTTGTAGGGTTTAGGGATCAGGGATTCGGGGTTGGTTTTTGAGGAGGGCTCAGGGCCGACAGCTTACGCGGATGTTAAGCCAAGGTCTAGGGTTCGGTTAGAATGTAGTATACTTGTGGCTCAGTCTTCAGGCGATCAGCCCCGGAACTCCTCGCAGTAGGAGTGCATGAGTGCATCAAGGAACTGCGATGAACAGCAGCGACTCTCAGAGTCCACAGCATAATCACGAGAAGCGACAACTGGCATGAACAAGAACAGGAAAAGCAGAGAACTAGCTCTTAGCGGGATCAAGGTTTCGGGAAGCTTCGGGCATATGAGTTGGCAGCGTCATAACAGAGACCAAGGCCACAACCCTACAGAACCAACCTGCACCGCAAAAGACGGGTAAGACTCGCGAACCTGACCTCCCCAAGGACAAACCCCCAAACTCAACACAGATTCCTGGACAGCAACACAAACTGCGTCAAGCCCTCATTTCCGACAACATCCCTCAGTGCCGACACCAGCGGAAGCGTGCCTCCTCGCAGCCTGGGGTGTTCGCCAGCAAGGTGCATTAGGTGACTGCTCAGAGACTTGCTACCGGTTGAAGTCACGAAGACCTTAAGAGTTCATTCTTGATGCTCCGGTACGGACGGGGGCACTGCTGTCATGTCTGGGCACGTCTGGACATACTACACTACCTGAAGCAGGACTCGATGTCCATGTTGTGGTCCAACCTCTCTATGACAGAAACCTGAATAGCAGACTGCCAGTTAAAAACGGACCCCTCCACAACTCCCCGCCCCTCACCCGAAAGTGAGGCATGCACTTTCTAAAGCCAAACATCGCAAAATCCCTAATCCAGCGTTTCAAGCGGGAAGACCTTGCTCACCTACATTCCTCCTGCCTTTTAATTACGTAACACTGAAGCCGTGCGCACATCCCGGCTTGCCAGTGGCATCCCTTGCGGAGCATGTATAGATTGTAAAGCTTAAATCTCACATCCTGCACCTGCACCCACGTACTAACCTCAACATTGAATATGTAGAATCCGTGGACTCTACGAGTAAACACCAAGCCCCTTGGCAAAACCCGCCCACAGCCCCAAGTCTCAAAGTCGCCAAAATCTTCCAAATCCTCCAAACCCTGCACCCTACTTAAAGGATCATGGGACTTAACTAGCGTGATAGTATAATCGGGGTAACTATACTTATAGCAACTTATAACTTCAATTAGGGTACTCATAACCTACTAAGTCCCAGGATCCTCCAAGTAACCCCTAAATCCAAAACCTCAACTCCTAAGCTTTTTCACAAGGATCCCTAGGCCTCTGCCGCTTCCTGCCCGGGTCGCACAGGAGGTGGTGAGGGGCGGTCCTGTTGGAGTGCTAGGGTCCATCACATGGAGAGTAAGGCTTCGGGGTTCGTGAAGGATCCGAAGCTTCGCCTTGGTTTTTTTTCGTGTTTGGTCCTCGGTAATTGGAAACATAAAAAGGGGCGCACCAAAATGGCAGAGGTAATTATTGGATGTTTACTTAATTACATTTTATGCGTTGACGCTTTCGCTTTGGAGTCCGAGGGCGTCCCTGCAGGCAAACAACGACTCTTTCTTGTTTCACTGTCACTACACTATACCCCAAAACCCTTCCCTGGTTCTTCCCTTCATTCCCCTATGTCAACCCCGAAGGAACCCTTGCAGAACTTTTATTCATGCCTTACAGTTTGAGAGAATGTGCAAAAGCCTTCCACTCCTCGTGCAGCGATGCACCCGCTGCTGGGCTGATTGGAGGTGGTGGCGAGCGGCCCTGCTGCTGCAACATAGTTGTCGTAATAGTTTGTATAGTGTTTTTTGGGTATGTTACAGGATAACTGTACAGAAACTGGCCGAATCATGGCAAAAATCAATGCCACTTGATTTAACCTACGTGTGTCTAGAACACACCAACGAGGATATCACTCGGTACAAAGCTCGTGCCACTGACCCAGGGAGCTTCGATCACAACGATTGTGGCAATGCTTGCCATGTGGGGGTGTGGGGTGTAATATGGGGGCCTTAATAAGTAGAATAGAATTTTGGGGGTCCATTGTGCTATACTTATAATGAGCTCCCGGTCGCTGCACAAGCCGCCAGAGAACTCCAACACCTGTAACTTCCAGAAGCGGGTTACTCTACGCATTGTTATTGCTTTCGCTTAGACCCATCGGATTTCCAACCTGCGTCAGCATGCTACGGTTCTTTTATGCGGAGGCCTCTTGCTGCATCTCCTATCCAGTGGCTGAGGCTGTAAAGGCCGGCTCGGCGTCACAAGCTCTCGGAGGGAGCCCCTTGGAACCCTCCTAGCAGGCAGGTCGCTCGCCCTCCTCGGGGCAGCTGTACAAGTGCAGCTGTACAAATGCGACTGCCGCCTGCGTGGCTAGAGACACTTTTATCGCCTCATGACGACTGCCGTTGGACAAAATAGCTGCTGAAAGGCAGCAGAACCCTGCATCTTATCTGTGACCTGCGCCTTCGACACACATAGGATGTGGATCATTCACGTAGCAAGGATTCAGTCCCACATAGGAACAGTGATCGCACGAGTGGAAGAGGCTGCTTGCCAACGAGAACTGCCCGCTGCAGCCCTCTCCGTCTTGGTTGCAGAAAGTCGGGCTTCCTCCTGCTGTGCTGCTGTACCACACCTCCGGCCCTGCATGACGATATCCCATGAGCAGAGAAGGTGGCAAGTGGGGCACCGGATCCATGTAGGAGACAACTCTGAAGTAAGATGTGCCAGCCATGCGAGCTTCAAAGGCCTTCACCCAGGCGTCATTGCCAACACGCGGCTGACCAAAGGTGTAGACCTCCTTGATGTGGTACTTGTCCGCCAGCTCAAAGGCCGCCAGCATGGCCATGGCACCTCCAAGCGAGTGCCCCGTGATACGGAGAGGCCTCTCATGGCAGTGTAGCTTGTCGAGCGCATGACGTGCCGCACCCTGCAGGCTTCGCCAAGCTTCGTAGAAGCCCTTGTGGACGCGACAGTCTTGGCACGAGCTGAAGGGCGAGTCTTGCAATGCCGCAACATCCAGAAGGAAATTTGGCACATTCCTTGAGCCTTGGAACACAAGGAGGCAGTCATCACCGAAGCTTGACACAAGGCCTCGCGTCCCGTATGGCACAGACTTTTGGATCTCATGGACGTCAGCAACCTCCGGAAGCATCTGGCACGCCAGCCCGCAATTCATTTTTGCCATGTGCTCGCTAGGCATGTGTGTGAGCTGCTGCGCCCACTGGTAGGTCTCTGCCAAGCTGTGGTCATACCCCGCATGTGCTAAGGCGAGGAGGCCCGCAAGCATGAAAGCACGAGCAATGAAACCCATGGCGAAACTGCGTCCCAGAAGTGAACCGCGATCTATGCCCGAGAGCCGAATCGCTTGCTGCGCAACGGAAAAAAAACGATGGGTACCTGCAATGCAGGTGAAACTGGATCGTCGTCACCTTCGCTGTAGTCCCGATGCCTACAGAGCAGGCTGATCGGATGATGAGAAATAAAGGTCATCAGCAGTAGTATAGATGTGGTGGTCGTGGCGGCAGCGGCAGCTTGAGTAGGTGTCGTGGCAGACGCAGCGACGGATGCGATCGCGGCACGGCAGTCACAGGCAGGCACTGTTGTAGGAATAGTCTTGTAAATGGCAGGACAAAACAGGGCAGCAGTGATCAAGCACATCGGCAAAAAGGGTTCCCTGAACCCGAAAACCTTAACCCGTGCCGAGAGCGGACGGTCCTGGCCCATGCCGGCGGGGGGTCCGACAGGCCGAGGTAGCGACTTATCCTGCCGAGGAAAACCCAGCATGTTCTGTTATTCCCAGGCCTGAAGGCTTTAGTCAGAGTCCGGGACTCTGGATTCAGGACTTCAAAGTGCAGGTTGTGTAGAGTTTGGGATTTGGGTTTCGGAGGGGTTCGAAGGAGCTTGTACGACCACATTTCGGATTAGTGTGACATACAAGAGACAGCAACAGGGAACGCTCAGAGCAGCTTCAGGGTGACGATGCAGGTAGAGCAGGTGAGGAACTTTTAGTATTGTAGGTTTAGGGTCCAAGGGTCGTTCGGGGCAGCTTTGAACACGTGCAGTCGTGGCTGGTGCTTTACCTGAACAGCTTCACGCCAATCAACACTGCCAGCTCTATGCGACGCGCGGGGCGAGGGCTGGGGCAGAACACAGCGCCCGGTATGCCTGGTGAGAGGCGTCTTGCAACCTGGGCGATAGGAGGTGTTTAGTTTGGCGAGCGTTCACGGTGGGGATCCTACGGAAAACCGTTGGATTAGAAATCTCGTGGCAGGTGCCGGTCTCCAAAGCATTGAAGATACATGCTTTCGGATACAATGCTCCGAACTCCGAAACACGTTCAACGAGATGGCCCAGGTTTTGTTATCGCCACTGCCGACCTTCAACACTTCAGTAAGAGCGCTGCAAGTGTTCTGCATCCTACTTGGAGGATCATGGGACTTAGTAAGGTTATACGTACCTCAATTATGGGTATAAGTAGCTATGAGTATAGTTACCCAAACTAAAGTCTCAGGATCCTTTAAGTAGGTCCCAGGCCTGATAGGCCTGCACCCGAACCGCCACAGGCTCCGAATCCCGGCTACGCTCAGAGCCTGGCGCTTCCTTGTCCATCTGCGCGATGGAACCTCCAGGCTGAAGGCACAAGAAACAGGATCTCGGGCGTCGAGCGCTTCGGATTCAGGGTTGGGTAAACTTCTTAGAAGAGACATCGACTATAGGGGCTTTCCGCCTGATGGGACTGGTAGTTTTGCGACCCTCCTTGCTCTGGCCAGAGTACGACGTTGCCCAGTGCCTTCGTCCCAGGAATTCTCGGTCTCTGCACCCTCCTTGGAATCGCGAGGGTCAGCTGGGATGCAGGACACAAGGTTTCCGTGTTGATATCAATCACCAATTTGGGCATTGCTTCGTGCCCCAATCGCTTAGAAGGCAAGCTCACCGGCTCAAGCAAAAACGGTAGGTGACGGCTCAGCATACATGCGCGTTTCCGGGTGCTAGCTGAGGCTGCGGCCACCGTCATCTTGGCTAGAATTTGGTCGGCCAACGTCCCACCATCAACCTGCTGCACAACACGCCCTGCCTAAACCCTACTAGGCCAGCCTGTTCGGAGGCTCAAAGAGATGGCAATTGCACAGTGCACAGTTTACCAGAATCTCCCGAAGAATGCCCCATTAAGACAACCCTTGGGGCAGAGATAAAGCCAGCCCACCTGCGACCGTGCCGATGAAGCCACACTGGCGTTCGGGGTCTGCGCAAGGTTGCACGTGAGTGATGGATGCATCCTGAACACGACCTTTGAAACCCCCCCAACTGACGACAAAGCTGCAGCGAGGGGCATCACCAGACTTGCCCTCCGTCCCTGTCACTGTTCTTGCACGTGTCATGGCGAACGGTATCGGCGGTCATGCTCAATGCTGTTCGAAAAGTTGCTTCTCAAATTTTTCAGGTGCTCCACTCCGAGCCCCGATTATCAGAAAGGGCTGCATTGACATCCCACGAACCAAACTCAGCAATAAACCTTCACTTGCACCCGAAACCCTACTGAACCCTACACGCGACGTCACTGAGCCCGAGTAAACCCCGAACCCTGAGCCCAAGTCCAACATACGACAAGCTCTTGGGAGCCTGTGCTGAGCCGGTCCGGGAGGTGCCTGGCGGCCCGGTCCCTGCTGGCGGGGCCTGGGAAGCATGAGTCTTCTTGTGCTGCTGGCAAAAGGTGCTGTTGCTTTAATGTCTTCGAGCGGTCAAGGCTGTTCTGACTCTGTCGTCATCATCATGATGACCGCGATGTCATGAATATCATGCTGACCTTGCTTTCGTGCATGGTTTTGCCGACTCGCACAGTTGTGACTATGCTTCTGTGTGCCAGAGTGGTCTGGAATCGCTTTCGAGGCTTCAACCTTTGGAGCATAAAGGTTTGTGGAGCACGTTATACTTCGAGTCGTGGCGTGGGGGCTTCACCGCTGGAAGCTTCGGGGGGGAAGACTTTCTTTCCGAATAGCAAGACAGAGCACGATGAAACCTTCCGGCTCCTTCTCCCAGCCTGGTGGTACCTCAGCCCCCCACCGCACGGTTCCCTAACTCACACTTAGGAGTGGGAAACATCTCTGGAATGGCGTGTACAAGTAGCTATGATGACAGTGGCGGTGGTGATGGTGGTGGTGGCGGGGTCAAGATTGTGGTTGTTGACTTGTTCTGTCGATATTCCCACAACTACTACGGTCACTACAAACATTTGGCCGTAACAGAAGCTTGACAGGAAAATGGCATCTCAGCAGAGGCCGAGGCCCTACTTCGAAACAGCTCGCGCCTGCGAGTGTTGGGTGCATTGAGTTTTCAGCTGAAGCTGAGGATCCAGCGATGCCCGTGACGTGCTCAGTAGCCGCAGGCGCCTTGCCAGCTTTCGGGCTCAAGTCTTACAGGCTTGCGGCTCACGGGAAGAAGGTTGACGTAACAGAGTTTGGGCTTCGGAATTCATCTTCAGGACCGGGTGAGGACGCATGCCGGAAAACTCCCAAAAGAACGACCCCAGAAGCTCGTCTTGCCTGCGGCTGCGCCGGCGGGGCTATGCTTCTCTGGGATGGCACCTGAAACATAGGCGTTCGGGGGCTTTGTAGGCCTCGGTTTGCATACAGTAGGGGCTTAGGGTTCAAAAGGTCAGGGGTGACCTCGCTGGATGCTGTTTTGTCACTGAAGCTTGAAGGCCTTGGACCTCCGGGAGTAGGGCCGGCTTCAAAATGGGGGATTCCTGGAGAGGCCGAGCAGGCCTAGCGACATGTTCTCGGCGATAGACGGATGATTCCTGAACCCTAAACCCGAGGCTCGGGGCTGCATCGACTTCAGACCTGTGATGTAAAGTCGAGGACTTCCGAACTGGCCCATAGGTCGCTACTGAGGCGAAGGATGCTTTCCGGGTCCAGGAGCTTGGGATTCAGGATCTAGGGCTTCAGGATTAAAGAGTGTGGGTTGGGAGTTCGGGGAGTTTGGGGTTTAGGGTTTGGGATTTGGCTTCGCAGGTTTGAGAATCTCGGGCCGGCGATCTTCTGAAGGTAACCCCGAAGTCAGAAGACCAAAACGCCATTCTCACGCGGGATGCTGCACGAGGTCCGTCTTCGTGATCCGAGACCCCGGGGGGTCTGCCGTACCGAACCTCCGAATGCGGAACCACGCACCCCGAACCTTAAAGCTTTGCCCAGACCCTCGACCCCAAACTTCAAACTACGAAGGCCTAATCCTGATCGCGAAACCCTCAACCCTGAACCCTCAACGCTGAACCCTAAACTCCCGCCTCGGAGTCGCGACTGGAGGTGGCTCCTGACAAAAGAAAAAGCCAGGGTTTCGAGGCTTCGGAAGGCTTCTAAGGTCTCGAATACGAAGAGTTCAGCTTTCGGGTTCTGGAACTTATATGATTCAGGAATTTAGGGCCTCTAGGGTGTAAAGATTAGGATTCAGGGCTAGCGTTTTAGGGTTCGAGAGTTTGTGGTGTAGGGTTCTGGGATTCGAGGCGTGGGTTTCCAGCTTTCGTTAAAGGGCGCTTATGAGGATGCCGGGGTCGACCTCGGGAATCGTAGTGGTTGAAACGCTCACCCAACTTGGAGCTTCAGAACACGAGCGGCCCTAATAGCGCTCAGTAGGGTCCCGAATATCATGGCCCACTCAGGGTCAACCACTTTGTCTTAAAACCAGTCAAGAAGCATCCTAAACATTCCTAAACCTTAAAATCGCAAAAGCCTAAACGATCCGGCAACGCAACAATCGCTACTTACCATTATTGTTACTATTATTGCTATTATGGCTATTATTACTACTGTTACTATCATTACTATTGTTACTATTGCTACTGCTGCTACTACTACTACTACTACTATTGCTATTATTACTATTACGACCATACCTCCAAGGTAAGAGTCTGGGCGTGGCCTGGGGGAGTTTCTGCCTCCAAGGTCACCTGCGGATCTTCGCGCCAGGCCTGCCAGAAGCTTCGGGCTTACATCTTGGGGGATTAGGGTTTCGGGGTGAGGGTAAGGGAATGGGGCTGGTTTAGAAGTTCCGTTTCTGTCGCCTTGTTCCAACTGATGTTGCTAATCAGAAGGCAGTTCTTACACCGGGTGGTTGGTGTCTGTCTCTCTACAATCTACAACCGGTTTAGGAGTATGATAAGGGCTTCAGATTCTACAAAGTTAGGGGCGTTGATGCTGCTGCTCCGATGAATCCTTTGAGAGTGTTGCCAGGCAGTCTGTCTTGCCAGAATGACTCAGATGCCTCAACCTACGGTTTCCCACCACCACCACC